CTGCGCCACTTCGGCTCATCTTATATACTGCTTCACAGTCCTTTACAGCTCTCTCTCATTTTACCCACCTCGGAAGGATGGAAGGCTGAGTCAACCTTGAGCCCGGTGAGATTTGAACTGCCAAATTGCAGGCAGCCAGCAGTCAGCAGAAGTAGCCTGCAGTACTGCACTCTAACCACTGCATCACAAAGGAAGGAAGGAAGGAAGGAAGGAAGGAAGGAAGGAAGGAAGGAAGGAAGGAAGGAAGGAAGGAAGGAAGGAAGGAGGGAGGGAGGGAGGGAGGGGGGGAGGAGGAAAGAAGGAAGGAAGGAAGGAAGGAGGAAGGAAGGAATGGAGGAAGAAGGAAGGAAGGAAGGAAGGAAGGAAGGAAGGAAGGAAGGAAGGAAGGAAGGAAGGAAGGAATATAGATTAAGAGAGTTGGAAGGAACCTTGTAGGTCATTTAGTCAAATCCCCCGCTCAAGCAGGAAACCCTACACCATTTCTGACAGATGGCAGTCCAGTCTCTTCTTTAAAGCTTCCAGTGATGAAGCTCCCACAACTTCCGAAGGCAAGGAAGGAGCTGAATTTCGACCATCGTCTGAAGGAGGTGATCATTTTTCTCAGCAATGGATTCTGAGAAAGAAAGCGGTCCATCCCTTGGATGGCTTCAAATGATCATTTCTGCACATGCTACCGTGTGTAATTTCTCCCTTTTTCAAGATGGGGGTACTGAGAAGAAACACTTAAGAGTTTTGTAGGGAGGTGAGATGGATCCATCAAAGCAGGAGCTCAGAGGGTGGAACCCAAAAACAGGTTTTGTTTGGCAGTGGTGAAATCTGTACTGGTTCGCTACCGGTTTGCTGGCCGCACATGCGCACTGTGCACCAAAAGGAGGCTTGGAAAGGTACCATATTTTTCGGAGTATAAGACACACCTACCTTTTTTTGTGAGGAAAAGAAGAAAAAGAAATCTTCCTCTGCCTCTGAGCAATTTTGCCTCGTTGCAGCAAACGGCCTGCTTTACTTTCATTTTCGTTTTCAGCATAGCTTGATTAGCACAAAGGGGGGGGAAAAATCTGCTCCAGCAATTCACCTCTTTGCAGAAGCAGCAGAGCCCTACACAAAACAGCTGAGAGCAAATCAGCTGAGAGTCGGGAGGCTGATCCAATCAACTTGTGCTAATTAGTCTGTGCTGAAGCTGAAAGGAGCTGTTTTTTCTTGCTGTTTGCTTTGCAAGGAGGTAACTGCTGCAAGGCAGAGGCCAAAGGGTTCTGGCCAGTGGGTGGGCAGGGCTACATTCGGTATATAAGATACACCTAAATTTTCACCTCCTTTTGGGGGGGGGAAATGCGTCTTTTACTCCGAAAAATATGGTAAGTAGAACAGCGAGGGGGGGATCAGCTGTGCCGTGTGATTTAGCTTCACTAGAAAGCAGGATTTCCTGCTCTCTAGCAAAGCTAAACCGCGCGGCACAGCTGATCGTCAGAAATACTGGTTCGGAGGAACCGATAGCTTTTTATCACTACCGGTTCTCCCGAACCGTACATAACTGGTAGCATTTCACCCCTGTTTTTTGGTCTGAAGATCAAAGAAAGAGACGTCAATACATTGGCCTTAGGATGCAACTTTGTGGACTTCAACTCTCAGAATTCCCCCCGTGGCAGGCTGAGGAATTCTGAGAGTTGAAGTCCACAAATTTTAAAGTTGCCTACCTTAGATGTAGGATTTTCTAGAGAAGACAAATACAGCATCAGCCACTACGGTTCAGTTTCCCAATGTTACACAAGCTTCTCAGAGCTCCAGAAACGGATAAGAGCTTGAAAAACTTCACTAGCTCAGAATATCATCACATTCCTCCGTTATCAGAAAAGTAGCTGGCCACCTCCCTCGTTTATCAAATATTTTCACCAAGGGAATTCAGAAATTCCCACCTTCAACTGAGAAAGTGCAGCAGCATCGAATATTGTTAACCTAATTCTGCGAAGCTTCTTCTCCGGTAACATTGTATTGCTAACTAGGGCATACAAAACCTTTGCCAGACCAATTCTCGAATACAGCTTGTCTGCCTGGAATCCACACTTTATACGATATCGGACATTAATACGATTGAGCGGGTCCAGAGGTATTTCACGAGAAGAGTCCTCCACTCCTCTGCTCACAATAGAATCCCTTATGCCACCAGGCTTGAAATTTTGGCCTTGGACAACTTAGAACTACGCTGCCTTCAGTCTAACCTAAGCGTAGTACACAAAATTGTCTGCTACAACGTCCTACCTGTCAATGACTACTTCAGCTTCAACCGCAATAATACACGAGCACACACTAGATACAAACTCAAGGTAAACCGCTCCAAACTCAATCGCACTAAATACGACTTCAGCAACAGAGTTGTCAACGCCTGGAATGCTCTACCCAACTCTGTTGTAACATCTTCAAACCCCCACAGCTTCAACCTTAAACTGTCTACTGTGGACCACACCCCATTCCTAAGAGGTCCGTAAAGGGGGCGTGCATAAGCGCACCAATGTGCCTTCCATCCCTGTCCTACCGTCCCTATTTATTTGTATTCATTTCCTTCGTTCATGTCTTCATGTCATGTTCATGCTTATACCTGCTATCTTGTACATGTTTGACAAACTAATCAATCAATCAATCAATCAAATAGCTTTTTTTTTAACAAAGTGTTGTCGTTTCTTATCTTATACAATTAGTCAAATTCAATATATTTTACTCAATTACAATTTTTGTCAATATCATCTTCCCCGCTTTCCTTTTTTTTTACTTTTTTACTATACTTTACTATACTATACTATACTATACTTGCATACATAAACACTTTCTTCATTTATCCCTAAATTCTAACTTTACTATTTGTGCATATTTATCCTCTTTTATTCTTAAAGACTTCATTCTTTTTCTTAATATATTTATATTTGTTTGTTCAGAGCTGCCTTCCTTCCACTTCTTTTTTTTAATTATACAGCAATCTTTCTCCTCAAACTTAACCTCTCCCTCTTCTCCTTCCAACTTTCTTTCCCCACCTTCTTCTTCTCTTCTCTACTTCCCCTTCTCTTCTCCTTCTCCTCCTCTCTTCCCCCCTGTCTTGCCTTCTCTCCTACTCTGCTTTCCTTTCCCTTCCTTCCTCCCTACTCTTCCATCCCTCTCTCTCCTTCCTCCTCCCTTCCAATTCCTTCATCTCTCTCTATTGCTGTATTCATTTTCAATTTAATGTTTTCCATTGTGGAAAACTGAATCCCTTTTTCCCTTTATAAACCCAACGATGGAAGACTTTGTGGTCATCTGTTGTCCCTTCCCCAGTTACAACTGGAACCAAGCAGCCAACTTTTGAGATGGAAGAAGCGGTGAATCACCTTTGGCTGTCCATAAAATTCTAGCTCGATGACCTGCCTCGAAATACGAGCAAGTATTTTGAACCTCAACTCATGGAAACCACCCCACCAAATATAACTTGGATACGTTCGTTGACTTATCCAAGACAAGAACTCGGCAACGGAGTTGTGCAGATGTTATGCCCTTTCAGCTGGTTAGAATGAAAGGCATGCTGGGATGCCATTCATTTAAAAAAAAAACTTTCCATACCAACACACGCCAAGGAAGGGAGAACAATAAATAAATAAAATCAATATCTGTATTCTTAACTTACCCCACCCTCCCGCCTGAAAGTTAGCATCTGCAGCGAATCAATTAGTAATCCTATTATATTGCAGATGACAGAAAATATGTCTATTGAACAGATGCCAACAACTTTCCCTTCCATAACAAAACAGAGATGTTACAGAGGCCTTGTTCCTACTATCACAGTCTGTTGCCGAGATCTGAGGATTTGTAAGAAACCAGCTCATTTAATAAGCTGTTACTAGAGCAATATTTTTATCAATAGGTCTCTCTCTTTCTCTCTTTTGCTTTCTCTTTGTCTCTCTCCCCTTTTTCTCTCTTCTCTTTTTTCTCTCTTCCTTTCATTCTTTCTTTCGTTTTCTTTCCCTTTTTCTCTATCTGTCTTTCTCTCTCTTTCCTCTATCTTTGTCTCCCTTTTTCTTTCTCTTTTTGCTCTCTCTCTCTTTCTTTCATTTTTTTCTTTCTCTCTCTCTCTTTCCCTCTTTCTCTGTCTCTATCTGTCGCTCTCTATCTTTCTCTCTGTGTCTTTGTCCCCCTTTTTCTCGCTTCTCTTTTTTCTCTCTCTCTTTTTTAATTCTTTCTTTCTCTTTCTTTCTTTCCCTCTGTCTCCCTCTCTCTGTCTGTCTCTTTCTTTCTTTCACTCTCTGTCTTTGTCTCTCTTTTTCTCTATCTCTCTTTCTCTGTGTGTGTCTCTCTCCTCCCTCTCTCTATATTTTAATTTAATATTACCAGAAGCCCATGTTCTTTTTCAGACAAATATTCAAAAAACCAAAAAGGAGAACAATTAAATTTTGATCAGAGAAAAATGGGCACTGTCTGACTTCAGTCAAACATCCTAAATTGACTTTGATAAGTTTTGGAAATTGGCTTCTACAGAAATCCAATCTAGGTTCTTTTTTTTTCTTTTTTTTTAAAAAACATACCCAACTCTCCTTATGCTACATTAAATTAAACATGTATTGAAACATTTAACTCTTAAATCCAGTTTCATCTTTGATATTTCTATAGTTGTCAAGCGCTTGATCTCTGCCTAAAACCCAAAGCAACTGATTTTTTCCAAAAATGATTCCCATAGTCTACATATTTAGTAAGGCAGATTAAGGTACGATTACAAGAATTGCACCAACTCAACTATTTTCCCTCTGCAATTAACAACCACATACATGAGGGTAGAGGGTTCCTTGACTTTTTCACAGCTTCCCCGTGAAACCTGTGAGAATTAAGGAATTTACAAATGACAGTTTGCAGAATAACCTCCTTAATTTTATTTTATTTCATTTTTTGTCATTTGGAGAACCACACTTCATGGAAATGTAGAGTGACCCCCTGGAGTTTTTTGTCACCAAAAATGGGGGGGAAATACTGAAAGATTAATCATCACTTACCAGTTGATGCTTCATATGGATGGTGATGAGGGGAGAGCTTGACAGATTGTGAGACAGAGTTGGTGGGGGCTCCATTGTCAAGGAGATAAGATAGCTGGTAGCAAAAATCATACACTCCTTGCAGGCAGCAGCTTCTGGAATTCTGGGAAATTAAAGCAATAGCTTATCAGTGACCTGTTACTTATTTTGATTCATCAGACACCCATCATTATTTGGGGAGGGTGGGAAGGAGGAAGGCAGGCAGGCAGGCAGGCAGGAAGAAAGGAAGGGAGGGAGGGAGGAAGGAAGGAAGGAAGGAAGGAAGGAAGGAAGGAAGGAAGGAAGGAAGGAAGGAAGGAAGGAAGAAGGACAATGGGAAGGAAGAAGGACAATGGGAAGGAAAGAAAGAAGGGAGGGAGAGAGGGAGGGAGGGAGGAGATGAGAATGGGAGGGGGAGGAGGGATGAAGGAAGGAAGGAAGGACAATGGGAAGGGAGGGAGGAAGGGTGGAGATGAGTATGGGAGGGGGATGGAGGAAGCAAGGAGATGAGAATGGGAGGGAGGGAGGGAGGAAGGACAATGGGAAGGAAGGGAGGAAGGAAAGAAGGAAGGAAGGAGATGGGAATGAGAGGAAGGGAGGGAGGGAGGGGCAGTGCAGTGCTGTGCCGGGAAGGGCAGGGCAGGGCAGAGCAGCGAAGGGCAGGGAAGGGAAGGGAAGGGAAGGCAGGGCAGGGAAAGGAAGGGCAGGGAAGGGAAGGGCAGGGCAGGGAAGGGAAGGGCAGGGAAAGGCAGGGAAGGGCAGGGTAGGGCAGGGCAGGGAAGGGAAGGAAGGGAAGGGAAGGGAAGGGAAGGGAAGGGAAGGGAAGGGAAGGGAAGGGAAGAGCAGGGCAGGGAAAGGAAGGGAAGGGAAGGACAGGGAAGGGCAGGGAAGGGATGGGATGGGATGGGAAGGGAATGGAAGGGAACATCTCAAAAACATGACACACAGTAGGTATGACAGCACATGCAAATAATATTAAAGACTCCGATCTTTTGATGGCAATGAAAATGATGCATCCCAAGTCTGTATTTATTTCTAAAGTGCAAAATCCCAGCAGCTTAGAGGGACAGAGTGATGGAAGATTCAGGCACCATCAACCCACTCTTTCAATGCTTCATGACTGTCCATAACAACCAAGAGGCAAAGGTCACGTAGGAGAAGATGAAATTCTTCCCCCACGAATAGAAAATGTCGCTCAGATTAGCCGAACTATTGCTCTCAAGGAGACCAACAAGGCAGCTTCCTTTGAGTAGCATCAGTTGTCCTTGAGTGAAGTCCAAGAACTCCCAGTTTAGAAAACTTTGTTCAGTACTATTCAAATTCCGGAAACAATATTTGTGATATGAATATGCTGAGCATTCTCAGCAATCTGGATACTTTGATTTATGGGTGCTCCATCACTGGAGGTTTTTAAGAAGACACTGGGCAGCCATTTGTCTGGAATGGTATAGGGTCTCCTGCTTGATCAGGGGGTTGGAGGATCTCCAAGGTCCCTTCCAGCTCTATTCTGGTTGGTTGGTTGGTTGGTTGGTTGGTTGGTTGGTTGGTTGGTTGATTGGTTGACTGACTGACTGACTGACTGACTTCTACAGGACCTCCGAGAGAGTCTTGCTTGCTTTGAACCATTTTACAGATCCTAAAAACTGGTTGCTTTGATCTTCCAATTGGATTTGGAGCAATGTTTTGCCTACAGACTTGGATGGAGGCATCCCCATTCCCACCCCACCAGGAGTGGGGAGGGAATGGAGATTTTGCAGTATCTTTACCCTGCCATGCCCACCAAGCCACGCCCACGGAACCGGTAGTAAAAGAATTTGAATTTCACCACTGCTTCAGCACCTACAAATAAATTGATGCAAAGACTCATATGTGTGTGTGTGTGTGTGTGTGTGTGTGTGTGTGTGTGTGTGTGTGTGTGTATCCACCTAGGGCTCAGTCTTTCCTGCTCAGAGATACCCTGTTTCCCCGAAAATAAGACCTCCCCTGATAATAAGCCCAACCGGGCTTTTGAGCGCATGCGCTAAAATAAGCCTCCCCCTGAAAATAAGCCCTGCCTGAAAATATTTAAATGCAGAGCTGGAAATCAGGTAAGATGGCAAGAGAAGCCCCGTCTTGGTCCACATGCCCCAAAATAATAAGACCTCCCTGAAAATAAGGCTAAGCGCTTATTTCCGGGTTCAAAAAAAATATATAAGACAGGGTCTTATTTTCGGAGAAACACGGTAGTTTCCCTTTCTTTCTCTTTTCCCCTTCAAATTATTCTTTCGGTCCTTATTTATACCCTGTTATTAAGAGACCCTTCATGTCCCAGGAAAAAAATGTTTCCTTCTCAGGGGTAACCATAATTTAAACCAGGATGCCGAGAGAAACCGAACGGGCACAAGCTGTGATTAGAAAGCCAGCCAGCCAATTAAAAACTGAACTGATGATAAAAAAAATTGTGATATTTGGAAGGTATTGAATGGTAATAATGAAGTAATTAAGTTAATATGAAGTAATGTTAACAGGTACTGATGTTTAAGAATTGAAACAAGATTCAGAAATATAAATAAGCTTAATATATAAGATTGTAATAGTTGGAACATCTGAGTTAAGATTTATGTCTAATTGGTTTTGTGATCAGAATAAGGGAATTTAAGGAAATAATTGGGAATCGTATTATGTTGTGAGAATTTAAATTTAGGGGTTCAAACTTAGGGAGGAAAAAGAAAAATTGAATTATATCAAGATTAGAGGTTAGGATGAAAGGTAATATTGGTTTATTAAAATTAGAAAGAATAAATACTATGGTAAAAAAATGAATATACAAAACTATGTTAAAGATGAACAAAAAATTTGTATAAATTTATGACCGGGCCAATATTCTGTTGGAGGCTCAAATTTATCCGAATACGATGGACATTGATAAAATGAAAACCTATGATGAATTGTTGAATACAGAAGGGGAAATGAAAACAAGAGAGGAACTGAGACAGCAAGGTACAGACATAGACTGGTGGCCCTATTTACAGGTGAAATCAAGACACAAAATGGATATGAAAAAATTTGGAATTCAAAAGGAATGGAATGAATTAGATAAAATTATACTGCAATCTGACGATAAATTAATAACAAAGATATATAACTACTTATTAAAATACAAATTGGAGGAAGAAATAGTGAAGGAAAATATGATCACGTGGGCCAAAAATTTCGGATACAATATCAGATTGGAAAATTGGGAGAAATTGTGGAAAGTAAATATAAAATTGACAATGTCTGTACCTTACAAAGAAAATACATACAAGATGTTTTATAGCTGGCATCTCCCCCCCCCCCCCCCGCACGTCTGGCAAACTCACAAGGGAACCTATTACCACATGTGGTGGGCATGCCCAAAGGTGAAAAAATTCTGGAAAACAATCCAAAAACAACTGGAAGAAATTACCTCCCAGAAAGTGCCACTTCGACCAGAAACATATCTACTAGGAATACTGACAAAAGACTACAAAAAAGAAATAAAATACCTGATAATACACATTTTGACAGCAGTTAGAATCACTTTCGCACAAACATGGAAACTGGAAGACACGCCATCAGAGGAGCGGATAATACAAAAAATAATGGAATGCGCGGAGATGGACAGACTGACAAAGGAAATACAGGAAAAGGAAGACACAGACTACTATTTAATTTGGCACAAATGGTATGATTGGCTAGAGAAAAAGAAGATAAAATAAGGGAATACCACCCAAGAACACAAAAATGAGGAAATGGAATTGCATATCGTCAAATAAATATCGTTATATAATGAAAGATATACATATTTAGATATACAAATATTTAATTACCGTGATAACTCTACTATCAAAGTTCAGGTATTATACTTGATTTTAATGTTTAGTTTGTTGATGTATAGTATGTTTGTATGTATGTATGTATATTTATGTTTTGTGTTATGTCAATAAAAAATTAAAAAATAAAAATAAAAATAATTTAAGAAAAAACTTTTATTGGAAAAAAAAAAGCCAGCCAGCCAGCCAAGGTATTTTCTTAGCTGGAGGAAGCATTGGACAAGCAAAGTTTAAATAATTGAACTGCCATCTGCCTCTTTCTATTTCCCCACCCATCCATCCCCAGGGACTTCGCTCCACTAGCTTCACTCTTGGGTGACATGTGCGACAAACATCAGTTTTTTTTTTCCTGACATTTCACATCCAGCTTTTTTCTGGACTTTCAAGGAGGCAAATTTGCTCTCTCTTGCAAATGAAAATGAAAAGTGAAGATTTTCTATCAACTGTCATCGAGGAAAAGGGCTTAAAAGGTTTCGACGAGAGAGAAAAAAGCCTCTGGAAAAAACTGAGAGAAAATTGGATCCTGGCCAAGAAAAGGGGCATTTTTTTTTAAAAAAAAGAGTTGGGTTGGTCATTAGTCTGCCTCGTAGATGTCAAAATATATGCTGTTTATCGGGGGGGGCAGGGGGAAGATTTTGCATTGGGCATCTGCTTGAGGCTTCTTTAAATGACACTTACAGAATCCTTGGCTGGAAGGGTCCTTGGAGGTCTTTTAATCCAAAGCAGGAGTCCTTATAAAAATCCTTGGCAATGGTTGTCCAATCTTTTCATGGAAAACTCTAGAAGTTGTGAATGCTCCAACACTGGAAGTGTTTAAGAAAATGTTGGATAATCATTTGTCTGAAATGGTGTAGGGTTTTCTGCCTAGGCAGGGGGTTAGACTAGAAGAACTCCCAGGTCCCTTCCAACTCTGTTATGTTATTCTACTCTACTCTACTCTACTCTACTCTACTCTACTCTACTCTACTCTACTCTACTCTACTCTACTCTACTCTACTCTACTCTACTCTACTCTACTCTACTCCACTCCACTCCACTCCACTCCACTCCACTCCACTCCACTCCACTCCACTCCACTCCATATTTTCTATTCTATTCTATTCTATTCTATTCTATTCTATTCTATTCTATTCTATTCTATTCTACTCTACTCTACTCTACTCTACTCTACGCTACTCTACTCTACTCTATTTCATTCCATTCCATTCCATTCTGTATTTTCTATTCTACTCTACTCTACTCTACTCTACTCTACTCTACTCTACTCTACTCTACTCTACTCTACTCTACTCTACTCCACTCCACTCCACTCCACTCCACTCCATTTATTCTATTCTATTCTATTCTATTCTATTCTATTCTATTCTATTCTATTCTATTCTATTCTATTCTATTCTACTCTACTCTACTCTACCCTACCCTACTCTACTCTACTCTACTGCACTCTATTTCATTCCATTCCATTCCGTATTTTCTATTCTACTCTACTCTACTCTACTCTACTCTACTCTACTCTACTCTACTCTACTCTACTCTACTCTATTCTATTCTATTCTATTCTATTCTATTCTATTCTATTCTATTCTATTCTAAATAGGTGTTACCCTTATTATAATTTCCTGGAAGCATGCCCGACAGGAATACTTCAGGCTGGCGCTCGATGCTTGATGACTTCAAGACCTACCCACAAAGTTGTCTTGGTGACCACATGCAATTGGTCGCCTTCTCGCAGAGATGTGTTCCAACATCCCTGTCTATCTTAATCTTAGTCATTCTCCAGAGGGGTCCCCATCCACAAACCAACCATGCTCAACTCTGCTTAGCAAACCACGAACCTTTCTGCCAATAAAGCTACATGAACATGACTCAAGGGAGATTTTATTATTAGTTTTAATTAACGCATTGCTCAAACGCATATTTTTTGGGGGGACGAGCCATCCTGGCTCTCTCTGCTTCTTATGACTAGCTAGCATTCCTTAGATAGTTGGGTGTGCTATTTGTATGTGTGTGCATTGCACGCATGGTAAAAAGCCAAGCGTTTTTATTTTAATGTTTTGGAATTATGAAGGGTTTTTTTTTTCCTTTCTAAAGAACTGAATTTAACAGCTGGCGTTTGTCAAATACATCAGAAGCAACACTGCTATTTGATTAAGGAAATCTAAGGGGAGACTTAAATGATTGTTAACAAGGAAGAGTTGTTGCTAAGCCTTTTTTTAAAATATATTTATAATACAGGCATTCATTTCTGGGTTTTGCTGCAAAAAAAACAAAAAACACAGATTTCCCTACGGAAAAGTGGATTGTGGGAGCAATTAAAGTTTACCAGTTTCAGCATTGCTATTTGCAACAGGATTTTTGAAGGAAGCCAGATGTTTTCATTTAAAAGTGGGAGAGAGGAACAAACTCTGAGCTTGGTTGTTTTCGTGCAGACGTTTCATTCCTCACACTAAGTAGCACCATCAGGGTTAGCATTGTATACTTTAGCCAGTGGTGGGATTCGGCCGGTTCAGGCAAACCAGTTAAATTGCTGGCTGGCTCCGCCCTTCCCTGCCACACCCCTTCCAGGAGTCCCCGCCCCCATTTTGGCTCCCAGATAAGTGCAGGGAGGCCTCCTAGGCCCAAAATGGGGCACACACACCCCACCGCGGCCCATTTTTACTTCCAGGAGGCTTCAGGGAGGCCTCCTAGGCCCAAAACAGTGCGCGAGGGACATGGCACATTCCCTCCCCCCAAGGCCTGTCACACCACCTGGCCACGCCCACCATGGCCACGCCCACCCAGCCGATCATTCGAGCAGAGAACACGTTGTTAAATTATCTGAATCCCACCACTGATTATAGAATATAGCATAAGATACTTGTAATACTCATAATTGTACTTATAACTGATAAAGAGAAGATTGGAAGTGACTTCTTATATTTTTTTGTCTTTTGTTTTTCTTTGACTTTTTTCTCCCCTTTCTTGCACTTTTAGCTTTCTCTTTACTTCCTGTTTTCTTTACCTATTCTCACCTTATGTTAATATGCATTGGTTTTTAATCTGCCTTTCTTGTAAAAAAAAAACAAAACGCTTAATAAAAATTGCATTTAAAACAAAGAATTCTCAGCAAAGGCAATGCCGGCGAGAGAATTCTGAGAGGGGAAGTCCAGACATCTGAAATGTAGTCCAGATGGTGAAAGAAACATAATTCCAAGTCACAAAGGTGCTTTTTCAAAAGGTAACTGGACTATCTTTGGGGTTTTTTTTCCCCTTGAAGATGTTTCGCTTCTCATCCAAGAAGCTTCTTCAGTTCTATTCCTTGGTACTTCAGTTCTCCAGAACTGAAGAAGCTTCTATATAAGGAAAATTTTTTATAAATGGTTTTATAGATGGCATTTTGCACCGGCAAGATTGGCGAAAATGTATAAAGACAAATCTGCTAAATGTTGGAAGTGTAATCAATCATCTGCTTCATATTACCATATGTGGCGGACATGCCCAAAAGCAAAAAAATACTGGATGAAAATACATACATGGCTGGAAAAAGTGATAAAACAACATATAGATCTGAAACCAGAGATATTTTTGTTGGGCATTCTACCAGAAAAATACGATAAAAAGACTACATATTTGATCCTGCATATACTAACTGCAACTAGAATAGAATAGAATAGAATAGAATAGAATAGAATAGAATAGAATAGAATAGAATAGAATAGAATAGAATAGAATAGAATAGAATAAGGAAATAATTAAAATGGAAGGGAAGGTAAAGGGGAGGGGAGGGGAGAGGAGAGGAGAGGAGAGGAGAGGAGAGGAGAGAGAATAAGAAAATAATTAGAAATAATTAGAGTAGAGTAGAGTAGAGTAGAGTAGAGTAGAGTAGAGTAGAGTAGAGTAGAGTAGAGTAGAGTAGAATAGAATAGAATAGAATAGAATAGAATAGAATAGAATAGAATAGAATAGGTTTATTGGTGCATATGCTCTCAGTGTACATAAGGAGAATAAAATTCATTCATCGGGAATCATAAAGTGCAACACTTAATGATAATCATACGGTACAAATAAGCAATCCTGAAACTATCAATATAAATTGTAAGGATATAAGCAACAAAGTTACAGTCATGCAGTCATAAGTGGAAGGAGATGGGTGGTGGGAACGATGAGAAGATTAATAGTAGTGCAGACTTAGTAAATAGTTCTATTCTATTCTAGAATTGTGTTTGCGCAACAATGGAAAAATGATGAGATCTCGTCTGAGAGGAATGTAATTAAGAAAATATTAGAATGTGCAGAAATGGACAAACTAACACTTACTATTAAGGATAAAGAAGAAACTGAATATTTTTCGATATGGGACATATTTCATCAATGGCTAGATAACAGAAACAGAAGTTAGAAAGGACGAGATATAAAAAGAGGAAATGGTAAAGGGGAGAGTTGTTAAAGAATAAGATGTTAAGTATTAATGTTATTATATTATCAATATGATGGTGATGAATATCACAACAAAGACGTGTAATATGACTATTTAAACATAACCATACCCAGAAGATACACTGTTTGATGAAAATGGAATGTTATATAAATAAAACAAACAAAATGAGCGGGGAGGGAAGAAGCTTCTTGGATGAATAGCGAAATGTCTTCAAGGGACAAAGAAAGAAAGTTTTGTTGGCTTTTGAAAAAAAGTTACCTTTAGCCTATTCAATACGCAGAACAGGTCTACTCTCTTTAAATAAACTTCTTAGAACTTGTAGTTGAGGTCACAGCAGTGCAGGGAAAAATTAGCCACTCCCTTGGTCTGTTTCATGCGATAGCGATTACTTCCATAAATAAATCGGTTTTGACAAGCTATGTGGGTTGAAGATACCTTATGAATAGGCTTGGAAATTTCCCAGGTCAGGGAAGAAGAATTTGAGTGATATATTGCTCAGAGTTTCCATAATTTAAATCCATGGCCAGTTTGCAAAAAAGCAAACCAAAATGGATTCTAAGGCCGTTTCTGCTTTTTGGTGAGGTGTAAATTAGACCTTGGCTTCTGGGGAAAGTGAAACGGGAAGGATGGTCTATCTCAAGAGTTAAATTAGCTCGAGTCCATCCTGTGATTTAAAGTTCAACGAGATAAAGGGCCTTTAAAAGGGAAGTTGGAGAACCGGCTGAGGCGGGGAGGTGACTGAGCATTTTCAATGACAATCTAAGATTATTATTATTATTTTTTTTGAGTGCCATGCTGTCAGTTCAGATGATAATTGGCCTGGGAAAAACCGTCCCTTTGCTTTAAAAGGAGGTTTCCATCAGGAACTGCTGTTTGAGAAATGCAACTTTTGGGGGTCTTGAGGCAGAGAGTTGAGGATCAAACAAAGTGGGTTGTTTTAAAATTCCTTCCTTTTCTCCCTTTCCCCTTCCCCCTTCTCCTTTCCCTTCTTTCACCCTTTCCTTTTGCTCCTTTCCTCCCTCCTTCCCTTCCTCCCTTCCTCCCTTCCCCCCTTTGTCCCTTCCTCTCCTCTCCTCCCCTTCCCCCTTCTCTTCTTTCACACTTTCCTTTCCCTCCTTTCCTCTCTGCCTCCCTTCCTCCCTTCCCCCTTTGTCCCTTCCTCTCCTCTCCTTCCCCTTCCCTTCTTTCACCCTTTCCTTTCCCTCCTTTCTTCCCTCCTTCTCCTCCCCTTCCCTTCTTTCACCCTTTCCTTTCCCTCCTTTCCTCTCTCCTTTCCTCCCTCCCTCCCTTTGTCACTTCCTCTCGTCCCCTTCCCCCTTTCTCTTCTTTCCCCCTTTTCTATTCCTCCTTTCCTCTCTCACTCCCTTCCTCCCTTTGTCTCATCTCCTCCCCTTCTTCCTTCCCCCTTTCCTTTCCCTTCTTCCCTCCCTCCCTCCCTCCCTCCCTCCCTCCATCCATCCAACCGTCCATCCATCTGGCGGGGAATTCTAGGAGTTCACACCTCTTAAAATTGTTGAAGCTGGGAAGCACTGTGCGAAGCCAAGCAAACGCCACCCAGCCTCATATTCAGGAAGCGTGTTGTGCTTTTAAAGAAACTTACTTGGTGTCCAACGGTTTGATGCTATGGAAGTACTGATGCATGGAATGGTAGAAGAGGCCCACAATCGTAATCCAGGCTGTAAAGAAGGCAAAATTTGTCGATATCAGGACTGCAGCGATGCAGGAGACAAAAAAACCCCCACCATTTAAAGCCCCTTTGGGTGCCCATCGCTTTATCCTTGTTCATCCTTGATCGCTTCTGCCTCTATCTGCTTGTCAGCCACCCAGGGTCTCTTGAATAGTCAAGACAATATCTAAATTTAATTTAATTATTTATTTATTATTTAAGAAAGATAGATAGATAGATAGATAGATAGATAGATAGATAGATAGATAGATAGATAGATAGATAGAGATAGATAGATGATAGATAGATAGATAGATAGATAGATAGATAGATAGATAGATAGAGATAGATAGATAGATAGATAGAGAGATAGATAGATAAATAGATAGATAGATAGATAGATAGATAGATAGATAGATAAATAGATAGATAGATAGATAGATAAATAGATAGATAGATAGATAGATAGATAGATAGATAGATAGATAGATATAGATAGATAAATAGATAGATAGATAGATAGATAGATAGATAGAGATAGATAGATAGATAGATAGATAGATATAGATAAATAGATAGATAGATAGATAGATAGATAGATGATAGATAGATGATAGATAGATAGATAGATAGATAGATAGATAGATAGAGATAGATAGATAGATAGATAGATAGAGATAGATAGATAGATAGATAGATAGATAGATAGATAGATAGATAGAGATAGATAGATAGATAGATAGATAGATAGATAGATAGATAGATAGATAGATAGATAGATAGATAGATACCAAGGTTTGACTCTGAGGAGACCCTCTTTTGTGGAAAAGAGGTTGAAAAACAGGAAGGATTGGTGTGAATTTGTCACCAGTTTAGAACTATCGAAAGAAGTTAAAATGCTCAATAATTCATTCCGCTGTTGGAAAAATCTAGATTGGCGCTGCAAAAATCATGATGACCACTAGATGGCAAAGCAGTATGGAGGGTGGGGGAAAAAACTAACTCTTTGCTGCCTTCCAGTGGCCATACCGATTTTTGCAACGCAGGGAACAGTTTCCCATTTCCCCTCCATTAACAGATTTTTCAGCAATCCAAACAGGGAAACATATATTTCAAGGTTGACTCAGCCTTCCATCCTTTCTTAGGTAGGTAAAATGAGGACCCAGATTGTGGGGGCAATAAGCTGATTTTGTATAAAATATACAGAAGTATGAAGGCTATTGTAAACCGCCCTGAGTCTCCGGAGAAGGGCGGCATATAAATCAAAATAAAATAATAAATAAATAATAAATAAATAAATAAATAAATAAATAAATAAATAAATAAATAAGTAAGTAAGTAAGTAAGTAAGTAAGTAAGTAAGTAAGTAAGTAAATAAATAAATAAATAAATAAATAAATAAATAAATAAATAAATAAATAAATAAATAAATAAATTTGGCCCGATGATCGGAAGGAAGGACAATTCAAGGGGAAAAAATGCTGGTTTCTCCTGGCCTCTTCTTCGGCCTACCAGATGGTCTGCATGTTAATTCCCATCATCCCCAGCCATATGGCGGAAAACCTTGGCTGGCGGGAGAAAGCCAAAGGCAGCAGATTTGACCTTTCTTTCCTTCTAGTAAATTATTCCCTTACCTGAATATTGGAAAGCTTCTCTGGGTATAGAAATGTAACTTTGTCCTTGTAACGGGAAGCGATACTGAGGCACGTTCGGGAGCTGGGGAGGCATTTTAACCAGGGAATAATCTGTATAATAAAGCAAACATTGATCAAAGCCCGAATGAAAGGGAGAGCAAAGCCATCAGTTAAAGTTCTTTTTCCTGCTTAAATGAAGGGACTGCTGTTCAGTTCCTGATTATTGTTGAGCCCCAAGGTCTGTTCTCTTAACGTTTTGAGCAATCGGCATCTTTTGAAGCAAACCAGCCGGGGGTGGGGAGGGAATATGCTAGAGTTTTAAGCAGCAAAGAAGAGAGAACTTTACTGTTTTGCAACAGGCAAAACATTTTTAAAAAGGGAACCGAAGAGGGAGAAATGTGGCGGGGCCCCCCCTCCCCATTTTCTGAGGTTTTGTGGCAACCAGCAGAGGTACTCAGTCCAGCAGCGATAGCTCGGAGGCTCACATTTTGATCTACGCTGCTGAGCACCTACACCATCACCCTGCTAAACAGATAATTCCCTCAACACTGTCAAACTATTCACTAAGCCTGCATTACTATTAATCTTCTCATCGTTCCTATCACCCATCTCCTCCCGCTTATATGACGTAACTTTGTTGCTTGCATCCTTATGATTTATATTGATATTGTTTCCCGGTTGCTTATTTGTACCCTATGACTATCATTAAGTGTGGTACCTTATGATTCTTGACAAATATATTTTATTTTTTCTTTTATGTACACTGAGAGCATATGCACCAAAGACAAATTCCTTGTGTGTCCAATCATGCTTGGCCAATAAAGAATTCTATTCTATTCTATTCTATTCTATTCTATTCTATTCTATTCTATTCTATTCTATCCTATCCTATCCTATCCTATCCTATCCTATCCTATCCTATCCTATTTGTACCCTATGACTATCATTAAGTGTTGTACCTTATGATTCTTGAGTCTTTTATGTACACTGAGAGCGTATGCACCAAGACAAATTCCTTGTGTGTCCAATCACACTTGGCCAATAAAGAATTCTATTCTATTCTATTCTATTCTATTCTATTCTATTCTATCCTATCCTATCCTATCCTATCCTATCCTATCCTATCCTATCTTATTTGTACCCTATGACTATCATTAAGTGTTGTACCTTATGATTCTTGACGAATGTAGCTTATCTTTTTATGTACACTGAGAGCATATGCACTAAGACAAATTCCTTGTGTGTCCAATCACACTTGGCCAATAAAGAATTCTATTCTATTCTATTCTATTCTATTCTATTCTATTCTATTCTATTCTATTCTATTCTATTCTATTCTATTCTATCCTATCCTATCCTATCCTATCCTATCCTATCCTATCCTATCCTATTTGTACCCTATGACTATCATTAAGTGTTGTACCTTATGATTCTTGATGAATCTATCTTGTCTTTTATGTACACCGAGGACATATGCACCAAGACAAATTCCTTGTGTGTCCAATCACGCTTGGCCAATAAAGAATTCTATTCTATTCTATTCTATTCTATTCTATTCTATTCTATTCTATTCTATTCTATCCTATTCTATTCTATTCTATCCTATTCTATCCTATCCTATCCTATCCTATCCTATCCTATCCTATTTGTACCCTATGACTATCATTAAGTGTTGTACCTTATGATTCTTGATGAATCTATCTTGTCTTTTATGTACACTGAGAGCGTATGCACCAAGACAAATTCCTTGTGTGTCCAATCACACTTGGCCAATAAAGAATTCTATTCTATTCTATTCTATTCTATTCTATTCTATTCTATTCTATTCTATCCTATCCTATCCTATCCTATCCTATCCTATCTTATTTGTACCCTATGACTATCATTAAGTGTTGTACCTTATGATTCTTGACGAATGTAGCTTATCTTTTTATGTACACTGAGAGCATATGCACTAAGACAAATTCCTTGTGTGTCCAATCACACTTGGCCAATAAAGAATTCTATTCTATTCTATTCTATTCTATTCTATTCTATTCTATTCTATTCTATTCTATCCTATCCTATCCTATCCTATCCTATCCTATCCTATCCTATCCTATCCTATCCTATTTGTACCCTATGACTATCATTAAGTGTTGTACCTTATGATTCTTGATGAATCTATCTTGTCTTTTATGTACACCGAGGACATATGCACCAAGACAAATTCCTTGTGTGTCCAATCACGCTTGGCCAATAAAGAATTCTATTCTATTCTATTCTATTCTATTCTATTCTATCCTATCCTATCCTATCCTATCCTATCCTATCCTATCCTATCCTATCCTATCCTATCCTATCCTATCCTATTTGTACCCTATGACTATCATTAAGTGTTGTACCTTATGATTCTTGATGAATCTATCTTGTCTTTTATGTACACCGAGGACATATGCACCAAGACAAATTCCTTGTGTGTCCAATCACACTTGGCCAATAAAGAATTCTATTCTATTCTATTCTATTCTATTCTATTCTATTCTATTCTATTCTATTCTATTCTATCCTATCCTATCCTATCCTATCCTATCCTATCCTATCCTATCCTATCTTATTTGTACCCTATGACTATCATTAAGTGTTGTACCTTATGATTCTTGATGAATGTAGCTTATCTTTTTATGTACACTGAGAGCATATGCACCCAAGACAAATTCCTTGTGTGTCCAATCACACTTGGCCAATAAGGAATTTTATAAAGAATTCTATTTAATCTGCTCCGAGCACAAAGCAACAAGAGTTGGAAGAATCACGGCTGATGCTTGATGCTATAGATCAGGGGTGCCAAACTCAATTTCATTGAAGGCTGCATCAGGGTTGTGTTTGACCTCGGGGTGCCAGTCATCTTGACATCATTCGTGTTGACGGCCCTTGTGGTGGCCAAGGGCTAAGGCAGTACTTCCCTCAGACCCTCCCTCCCTCTCATTATAATCTTCCTTCCTTCCTTCCTTCCTTCCTTCCTTCCTTCCTTCCTTCCTTCCTTCCCTTCTTTTTCCTCCCCTCTTCTCCTTTCTTCTTCTTTCTCCTCTTTACTTATTTTTTCCTTCCTTGCGCTCTTCCCATCTTTCCTTCTTTTTCCTGTGTCTTTCCTCTTTCCCTTTCTCCTTTCCCGACCCTTCTTGGATGCTCTAATGCAAAAGGGGAAACATTTCTCCTTTCATTTTGTTTTGCTTTTAGTTTGATTTGCTAGCCCTCTGCCAGCAAAAACCGAGCTGGGGGGGTGGGCAACCGCGCGTGCCCCTGGGCCCTGTTTTCAGCCATGGCGGCCTCCTGCAGCCCTCTGTCAGTAAAAATGGAGCTCGGAAGAGCTGGCATTGGCAGAGGCACCACGGGCCAGTCCTTTGCTGTTTCCAGGGCAGCCCTGCAGGCCAGATCTAAGCACCCTGAGGCAGTGGTGGGTTGCTACCGGTTCGTCCTGGTTCGAGCGAAGCAGTATCTGTGGTGGGAGGCTCCGCCCACCTACCCGGATGTCATCAAATACACTCTGCGCACGCGCAGAAGTGGCGCGTGCATGAGCGAACAGCTAGCAAAGGTAACAGAAACCCACCACTGCCCCACGGGCCGTGAGTTTGATACCCCTGCTATAGATCATCCACCAGTGACGTGACAAAGCAATGCCTGCGTGAAGGCCAAGCTCTTAAAAAAAAAAACCTTTGGAACACCTGAACTAAGTCAACTAAGAAGCTGGTGTTTCTTTTCTAGTTTTTCATTTCTCCTTCCTTGATTTCCTGGATTCATTGTAGATGTTCCTCAAGGAGGGATGGACTTTCCATCCCAGCGAAAACGGGAAAGGAAACTTTCATGTCCTTCGTCAGCAAAAGCGAAAAGCCACAGAAGTGGCTTTGCTCAGTTATTCATCTCCTGTGTCGGAGAACAAAACTGGAGAGGGCCCCAATAAATCTCACCTGCCACGGATGAAGTGCCTTGGACTGTGATGGTTGAAGGGCTTCCTCCTAGATTGCGCGCCACGTGCAATGTCACACTGTCGATGGTGGACACAAGCCCTCCGGCAAGGGACGCTGTCTGAAAGCAGAAATGACAAAGCTGGGGTGATAAGCAAGCGATGGAGGCCTTGACTCCAAGAGAACCCAGATAAGGTCTCGGAAAATATTATCCTTACCTGGTTCAAGCTGATCCAAACAGGTATCTTAAGAACTCCTTCCACCACTTTAAAGAAAACCTAGAAATAAACAAAGACAGGTTGTGTATGTCCTGTGATGTGATCAACACCATCATCCCTTACCTAGTGTGATTCTCCTGAAAATGATGCATTCCCACCTGAAACCAGGGACAACTCTTTTTTTGCATATTGTCGAGAGAGGTTTGATTGGGAGCCACCCCGGAGTTTGTTATAATATGGGTGGCTATATAAACATTTAAATAAATAAATTGGTAAATGGTAAATAGATGGACAGAGAGAGGGAGACAGAGAGAGAGAGAGAGATAATGATAGAGGAGAGGGAGGGAAGGAGGGAGGGAGAAAAGATTAGACAGATAGATAGATAGATAGATAGATAGATAGATAGATAGATGACAGATGATAGATAGATAGATGACAGATAGATAGATAGATAGATAGATAGATAGATAGATAGATAGATAGATAGATAGATAGATAGATGATAGATGATAGATAGGTGGGTAGGGGTTGGGTGGATGATAGAGAGAGAGAGAGATAAATAAAGAGATATGAGAGAGGTAGAGAGAAAGAGAGAAAGATATGAGAGAGACTAGATAGATAGATAGATAGATAGATAGATAGATAGATAGATAGACAGATAGATAGACAGACAGACAGATGGGGGTTGGGTGGATGATAGAAAGAGAGAGAGATAAATAAAGAGATATGAGAGAGGTAGAGAGAGAGAGGCAGAGAGAGAGAGAGAAAGATATAAGAGAGACATGATAGATAGATAGATAGATAGATAGATAGATAGATAGATAGATAGATAGGGGTTGGGTGGATGATAGAGAGAGAGAGAGATAAATAAAGAGATATGAGAGAGGTAGAGAGAGAGGCAGAGAGAGAGAGAGAAAGATATGAGAGAGACAGATGATAGATAGATAGATAGATAGATAGATAGATAGATAGATAGATGAGAGAGAGAGAGAGGTAGAGAGAGAGAGAGAGGCAGAAAGAGAGATGAGAGAGAGAGATGATGGATAGACAGACAGAAAGAGAGACAGATGATTCCAATGCCATCTTTTCCATGCTCCTCTCCTGAAACCTACATAAGCTGCAACCAAATGAGTTTCCATTAAGTCTTCAGGCCTACTTATACCAAAGTTTTGTTAGAAAATTCAGCAGTACGGCAAGGGGGGGAGGGATTGAGTTTCACTTTTTCTTTATTAATACGAAAATATTTCACACTTTCTCTTTCTGCATGGCTGTGCCCACAAGACATGACTGCCACATTTCCATAAAGTCAGTTTGTATCGTGTACGGAAGCTCTTTGAAAAGCTTTGAAGCATCAAGAATAGAATTATGCTTTATATTTCTCACATCAACATATTTTTAAAGCCCTAAATCCGTTGACATTGCTTGCTGATACATATTCGTATCTTCCTTTCCCATTTTGCAATCTTCAGAAACTGTTTTGAGATCTGTGCAGTTCCTAACGCTCTAAATTAAACCTAGAACGAAGGAGAAATTTCCTAACAGTGAGAACAATTAATCAGTAGAAGTAATTAATCAGCTTCCTTCAAAAATTGCTGGTGCTCCATCACTGGAGTTCTTCAAGAAGAAATTGGACAACTTTTTGTCTGAAACTGCATAAGGTCTTCTGCTTGGACAGGGGGTTGGGCTAGAAGATCTCCAAAATATCAACTCCGATATTCTGTTAAATCTATTAAAACTGGTTCTCAAGACAGTATCTTCAAGTTGCGATATAAAAATCATGCATTAAATACGTGAATCCATTTCATTTTGAATCCACTTGGGAGTTCATGAATCATTTTGATGCTGAGGCTGCCTCCCACTCCACACATATGCCTGTGTCCAGAACACCATAATCTGCGTGAAAGAGATTCATTTTGATATGAATCATTTCGATATTTATATGTGTCGGTTCTAAGTTGAAAAGAATTCACTCTCTGGAATTCTTGTATAAGATACTGCTTTCAGCTTCATAAATCTCGATAAAGAAGAATCTGCGAAATTCAGGCTTGGAAACAGTCACTTTCAATCCAGACAGCTATCGAAGATGAGAACATGAAAGGATACCCCTCTTTTCGTGATTTGCACAGCTGTACTGTGTATTTCTTCTATTAGACAAGGGATGGAGGGATAGATGGAGGGAGGGAGGGTTAGACGGATGGATGGATGGCTGGGATGTACATGTGATAGATAATCCTATTTCATAAATACATGTGATCCTGCTTCATACATTTGAAAGGTCGGATTGCAATTTATTCATACCCTCTTTCTAGGCATCTGTAGAAACCATGTTGTTCTCGAGCACATCATGATGTCATAGCTCAAGTGACATGCATTTCACTAATCAATGACCTCATAACACCAATGATGTCAATTGTCCCCTGGCAGATGCTCAAGCTCTCTTGAATTCCTTTTTGGAATGGAAGATAGGATAGGATAGGATAGGATAGGATAGGATAGGATAGGATAGGATAGGATAGGATAGGATAGGATAGGATAGGAAGGGGGGAGGAGGAAGGGGAGGAGGGAAGAAAGAAGAGGAATGGAATGGAATGGAATGGAATGGGATAGGATAGGATAGGATAGGATTAGAATAGAATAGAATAGAATAGAATAGAATAGAATAGAATAGAATAGAATAGAATAGAATAGAATAGAATAGAATAGAATAGAATAGAATAGAATCAGAACAATAGGGAAGGGAAGAAAAGGGAAGGGGAAGGGAAGAGAAGAGGGAGGGGAGGGGAAGGGAAGGGAAGGGAAGGGAAGGGAAGGGAAGGGAAGGGAAGGGAAGGGAAGAGAAGAGAAGAGAAGAGAAGAGAAGAGAAGAGAAGAGAAGAGAAGAGAAGAGAAGAGAAGAGAAGAGAAGAGAAGAGAAGATTTTTATTGGCCAAGTGTAATTGACCCATGAGGAAAATGTCACTAGTGCCATTTTCTATAATTTAGAAATCAAAACAGTTTTATGTGACTAAAACAAGATGGGAAACTGCTTACGGTGCACTGCCTAAATAACTATAAATGGATCAATTACCTTAGTAAGCTGATTAACAGATGAAAGAAACTTAGTAAGGTTGATTTTTTTTAAAAAAAAATGGGGGGAAATTACCTCTGTGAATTAGGAAATGGCCTGAATAAGCGGATTAAGGGACGAAGAAAAATTACCTCAGTCAGATTGTAGGCAGTATTTGCCGTGAGGGATTCATTAGGCATGGCGTTTGAAATGTTTTTCAGGTAGTCCAACATGACGTGAGGGTCGTGGACGCTACGTTTCCCCTCTGTGAGATTAATTATGATGGATCGGTAGGCATTTATGGAAAGCTGTAAGCATAAAATAACAAGGCACTGAAAGGCGCTTCTTCTCTTCGTGAGGGACTAGGTTAGATGACTAGGTGGCTCAAGTGGCTAAGACACTGAGCTTGTCGATCAGAAAGGTCGGCAGTTCTGCGGTTCGAATCCCTAGGACAGGTCTCCTGAGTGAGCAGGGGGTTGGACTAGATAGCCTCCAAGGTCCCTTCCAACTCTGTTACTATGATAGAGTGATCGTCATTGAAATAATAAAATGTCCTTTCCTTCAACAATGGCAGTGACTCAACACTGACCAAGGCAGGGGTGGGCTTCAAAAATTTTAGCAAGGGATTCTCTGCGCGGTTGCTGGGTAGGCGTGGCTATGGTGGGTGTGGCCTAGTTGGCCTCCTGCACCACAGTGGGGGGGGCATTTTTGCCCTCCCCGGGCTCCAGAGGCTTTCCTTGAGCTTCCAGGAGGTCGGAAATGGCCTCCCCAGGCTCTGGAGGACCTCTGGTGGCCGGAAACTGGCCCAAACTTCCGGTAGGCCCGTTTTTCACCCTCCCTGAGCCTCTGCACGTGCCCTCCACTTACCTGCATCCAAAACAGGCCATGTGAGGACTCCTGGGAGGGTTGGGGTGGAGTGGGCCAGGAGTGGGATTTGGGGGTTCTCCAAACTGCACAGAATCTTAACTAGAGGTTCTCCTGAACCCCTGCGAACTCCCAGCAGCCCACCCCAGGACCAAGGACATGAGCCTCTTCTTTGACCTAAAGATACATTTACTAGATAATTATTTTTATTTTGTGCATCTTTATTTTCAGGATCTGGGCTGACAAGGAAATCTAGGCTGCCTGGAGGTCCTCCCTCCAAAATTCAACTTGCTGGATAATTCACTGCATTCAGTTTATTTTACAAATATGCTATCTGGCCTTCCAAGCCATCAATTTAAATTTGACAGGTGGTTTCCACTTTAAATGGAATAAAATGCAATTCAGATGCTGGGGGAACCCAATTTGTTAACTCAAACTTCTATTACAAGGTTTCCTTTGAGTCAAATTAGCTCATTTCTGTCATCATTTCTCATCACTGTCAAATTAGCTCATTTCTCTAACACAACCTGGAAGAAGGTTTTAATCTCATAATCTCCAATAGTTATCTCCATTTTCCTTTCAGCTCCTATCTACTCTGAACCTGGGTGTCTCTGGAGCAAGTCCATCACCTTAATTAAGGTAAAGGTAAAGGTTCCCCTCGCACATATGTGCTAGTCGTTCCCGACTCTAGGGGGCGCTGCTCATCTCCGTTTCAAAGCCGAGGAGCCAGCCCTGTCCGAAGACATCTCGTGGTCATGTGGCTGGCATGACTCAACGCCAAAGGCGCACGGAACGCTGTTCCCTTCCCACCAAAGGTGGTCCCTATTTTTTCTACTTGCATTTTTTACCTGCTTTCGAACTGCTAGGTTGGCAGAAGCTGGGACAAGTCACGGGAGCTCACCCCGTTACGTGGCGCTAGGGATTCGAACCGCTGAACTGCCGACCTTTCGATCGACAAGCTCAGCACCTTAGCCACTGAGCCACCGTGTCCCTTTCACCTTAACTACCCCACTTCAATATGTACAAATTATGCATTTTAGAGAAAGTAGCATGCAAATATGGAAAGACTAAGTCAAACCGAACCTGGCATGTTCAGATTTCGAGGCATTTTTTCTCCCCAATTCATAGATGGATCCAGAAATGGAGTGGAACATAAATGGGAATCATAATTTGGCAGAGATCTTGACCTCAAAATTAAGCTTTACACGAAGATCAAAACTTGTAGGTTCCTTTTCTCCTTCTTATTTCAGCTGGCTGGAAACTTGGAATGATATAACTTGTTTTCCCCCTTCTAACGTATGCAACCTGGCAATGCCACGGAAAAATTTAAGGAATGCACCTACCACGGGAAGAGTGGCTGTTGTTTGCCATCCCCAGGGAGATGTTGAAGCAAGCTGAGACTGGTCACCTAGAAACCATTAATGAAAAACATTAACCATGACTTTCCCCTTGGGTACAGAGAACTGGGGTGGGGGGATATAATCCAGGTTAAAACTTGATGTTATCCAGAAGAAAAGTTGCGTGGCTGAATGTGAGACTAGCTAACATTCTCCCCTGCTATTGAACAAACAGATGGTTGACACTCCTAGCTAGGGGTGGGCTTCAAAAAATTTTAGAAAGGGGTTCTCTGCCTGGTTGCTGGGTAGGCGTGACTATGGTGGGCGTGGTCTAGTCAGCCTCCTGTACCACGGCAGTGGGGGTCGTTTTTGCCCTCCCTGGGCTCCAGAGGCTTTCCTTGAGCCTCCGGGAGGTTGAAAATGGCCTCCCCAGGCTCTAGAGGCCTTCCCAAACTTCCAGTAGGCCCATTTTTCGCCCTCCCTGAGCCTCCATGCACGCCCTACACCAGTGGTGAGATTCAAATAATTTAACAACCGGTTCTCTGCCCTAATGATTTCTTCCAACAACCAGTTCACCAAACTGCTCAGAAAGTTAACAACCGGTTCTCCCGAAGTGGTGCGAACCGGCTGAATCCCACCACTGCCCTACACTTACTTGCATCCAAAACGGGCCGCGTGGGGACTCCTGGGAAGGGTGGAGTGGGGTGGGCAGGACCAGCCAGGAGTGGGATTTGGGGGTTCTCCGAACTGCACAGAATCTTAGCTAGAGGTTCTCCCAAAACCCTGCAAACCCCCAGCAGCCCACTCCTCCCCCCAGCCCATTTTTGGGCCCAGGATGCTGCAGGGAGGCCTGCTAGGCCAAAATTGGGGGGCGAGGGGTGCACCCCCAGTCCATTTTTGGGCCCAGGAGGCTGAAAGGAGATTTGGAGGGTCGCGTGCACAAGCGCAGGGGGCGGGGGGGAGCAGGGGCGTGCATGCATGTGCAGGGGAGGTGCATTGCATTATTGGTGCCGGCACACCCACGCGCTGTCGCGCATGTGCTTTCGGCACACAAGAAAAAGTTTAGCCATCACTGTTCTAGATTGTTGTGACCCCGACTCCCGAGCCTGTCCTAACAGAGGAAGAGGACTCAGAAGGTGATGGGGAGGAACTGACAAGGCCTCCCTCTCCAGGACCCTCCTTTCTGGTAATGCTTCAGGTTCCATACGAAGGCCAGGAGGAACAGCCTGGGATGTGCCAGGAGGAAGACATATCGGAGCACCAATTGATAGGGAGCGAGGATGATGAATCCTGGCTTGATCCCAGGCAGCGTCGGAGGGAGAAGGTGCACAGCAATGGAAGAGGCGTGGGAGGGCCAGAGATTGAGCTGAGTCACGGAGCCATGCCCCACCAGGAATAAAAGTGGGTGGGATTGCTCTTCAGGCTTTGTGACGGACAAAGTTAAACCCTGAAAGTCACGTCGTGATCTCTGAAATTCGGCTTGGATATATTTTGGACTGAACATTGACTAAACTCTTGTCTCATGGATAATTTGTTGTTCCTGGAACGGACTGAAGATAAGTCCTCTTCTGCTTTATGGGAGTGAAAACGGTCTTGGCAGGCATTCGGCAGAATGCCAAGAATTCTAATCTGTTTATCTAATAAAATATTGGCAGGCATGCTTGGTATTATGCTTGCCTGTGTGTGGAAGGGGGACAGAACATAGATACTAAGTGAGGTTCTCTCTCAAAATGAGGATTCATTAATAATCTCCTAATGTTTTTAGGCTGTCTCTGTCACAACACGGTCATCTTATCCAGCCTTTGCAAAAATCTTCGTTAAGATTTCCTGACTCGGTGGAAATCCTCCCGTCATATCACCGAGGACTTTGAGCATTCCGTTCAAGGTTCAAGCGAGACAAGATATTCAACTCCAGACATGCTGGAGCGAAACTTACCGATAGCAGCTGTGAAATACTGCTTGATCTCGTTGGCGGTGAGCACTCTTTCCCATATGATGAATTCGTCAAAGGCGCCATGGATGTAGCGTTTCCCTTGATGGCCTTCGGAGCTCATCAGCAAGTTGGAATTGGAGTCCCCATAGTTGTAGAAATCTTCCCCGTGGGGATCAACGTTCTTCAAAGTCCCGTTGATGTAGACCTTCAAGCCCTCTTTAGATTTCCAGGTAAACAGGATGTGAGTCCAATGGGGACCTGAAAAACAGTGGTTATTGTTAGGAAATGATAGTTACCTAAGTTGTTTGGTTGGCAATATATAAAACCTCAATATAGCTTTAAGGCTTTATTGCTGTATGCATCATACTGTTTACTGATTGGTTAGCTCTGTAGCCAATGTCCTTAAGAGAGAGCTTGAAACATGGTTAGTTTTCTCTTTGCTGCTCTCTACTACTTTTTTGTGAAAGTTACTGATCGTTACTGATCGTTACTGCTATTTGCTGTGTTTGCTACTGTTTGCAACTGTTTATTGTGTATGACTATGACGACTGGTAAGAAGACTTTGTTATTGGAATATCCCTGGACTATTGATTAACTATCTATGGCTTTATCTGTGTATGATCTGGACTGTTTCTTGGACTGTGCCTTATTACTATTTTCCTAAAAGTAAACACAACTCTGTGTGTTGACTGTGATTATTTGCAACTGCTCTCAGTCGCTTTCATGTGCACACCCTTGCTACTCTTTCCAGAAGAAATAAGGGGTGTGGGAAATGTCCCAGGCAGGACCCTCCCTAGTTTCTTGGGCTGTGTAGTGGGAGAAATATCCTTTCAGACTTGCAAACATCCCCTTAATGTAACCTCACAATAAGTAGCAGAAACCAAGAGTGAGTTTCTTGTCTTCCATAGTTAACGTTTTTGGTGACCTGAGTAGTTTTGACAGCAAAATTACTTTTTGTTGTTTTTAAGAATATTGCTAATGCCTCCTGAATCAGGCTGCTCAGTTCTCCATAGATATATAACGATAATTACGTATAAATGGTTATGAATGTGGCAGTTTTCCAAACTCCCTAAGAAGGCCTTATAACAGGGATGGTAGTTTTCTAAACGAGTCAGTGCATTTATTTCCGCCCACTTTCAATTAAGCTACTGAGTTTTGCAGCTCTTGTGTTGTTTTTTCTGTGCCGGGGCTGTGGTGGCGCAGCGATTAGACTGCAGTATTGCAGGCTGACTTCTGCCCACTGCCAAGAGTTCGATCCTGACCGGCTCAAAGTTGATTTCCAAGGTTGGTAATGTAAGGACCCAGATTGTTGGGGGCAATATGTTGACTCTGTAAACCGCTTAGAGAGGTTTACAGGTAATATATTGTGAGGTAAATATTGAGAGGTAATTGAGAGGTAAAATATTGTGAAGCGGTATAGAAGTCTAAGTGCTATTGGTATTGCTGTTGCCCTTCCTTCGTCCTTTGTCCGTCCTTCCTTCCTTCCTTCCTTCCTTCCTCTCCCTCCCTTCCTCCCTCCCTCCCTCCCAGTGGTTAGAATGCAGTATTGCAGGCTAACTCTGCCCACTGCCAGGAGTTCAATCCTGACCGGCTCAAGGTTGACTCAGCCTTCCATCCTTCCGAAGTGGGTAAAATGAGGACCCAGATTGTTCGGGGGCAATAGGTTGTAAATTGCTTAGAAAGGGACTGTGAAGTGGTATATAAATCTAAGTGCTATTGCTATTTAAAGACTTTCTGGCCTATAAATACATTTGCTTTTGGTCATATACCATAGCTCAGGGTTACCCAGTCTTGGCAACTTTAAGATGTGTGGACTTCAATTCCCGGAATTCCCTAACCAGCATGCTTGGCTGGGGGATTTGGGAGTTGAAGTCCATTGCAGAAACACTGCTGTAGCAATTAATTAATTAATAGCTGCTAATTAGTAGCTATTAATTAAGCTATTAATAAGCAAAGATGATTAGGGGACTGGAAACTAAAACATATAAGGAACGGTTGCTGGAATTGAGTATGTTTGGTTTAATGAAAAGGAGGAAATGATAGCAGTGTCCCAATATCTCAGGGGCCGCCACAAAGAAGAGGGAGTCCAGCTATTCTCCAAAGCTCCTGAAGGCAGGACAAGAAGCAACGGGTGGAAACTAATCAAGGAGAGAAGCAACCTGGAACTAAGGAGAAATTTCCTGACAGTGAGAACAATTAACCAGTGGACCAACTTGCCTCCAGAAGTTCTGAATGCTCCAACACTGGAAGTTTTTTAAGAAGAGATTTGTCTGAAATGGTATAGGGTTCCCTACTTGAGAGGGGATTGGACTAAAAGACCTCCAAAGTCCCTTCCAACTCTGATATTCTATTCTATTCTATTCTATTCTATTCTATTCTATTCTATTCTATTCTATTCTATTCTATTCTATTCTATTCTACTCTATCTACTCTACTCTACTCTACTCTACTCTTCTCTATTCTGTTCTGTTCTGTTCTGTTGTTCTGTTCTATTCTATTCTATTCTATTCTATTCTATTCTATTCTACTCTACTCTACTCTACTCTACTCTACTCTACTCTTTTATTCTTATTCTATTCCATTCTTATTCTATTTTATTCCAGTCCATTCCATTCCAGTATCTATTCTCTTCCAGTATCTAATGTAGTCTTGTCTTGTCTTGTCTTGTCTTGTCTTGTCTTGTCTAGTCTAGTCTAGTCTAGTCTAGTCTAGTCTAGTCTAGTCTAGTCTAGTCTAGTCTAGTCTAGTCTAGTCTAGTCTAGTCTAAATCTACTCTACTCTACTCTATTCTTATTCTATTCCATTCCAGTATCTATTCTCTTCCAGTGTCGTGTCGTGTCGTGTCGTGTCGTGTCGTGTCGTCGTGTCGTCTAGTCTAGTCTAGTCTAGTCTAGTCTAGTCTAGTCTAGTCTAATCTATTCTTCTTCTATTCTATTCCAGTATCTATTCTATTCCAGTCCATTCCAGTCCATTCCAGTATCTATTCTCTTCCAGTATCTAATCTAATCTAATCTAATCTAATCCAATCCATTCCATTCCGTTCCGTTTCATTCTTTCAATGAATGAATGCATCTTAAGAGGAAAAATACCTGGCGAAATGAAACTTGCTGTCCACTTCTTGGACGTGTGATGATTGAACAGTTCCACGGAGCCTTTGTGTTCACCGAAGAAGACTTTAAATCTATTAGAAAGCACCTGATCCCGGTATGTCGGGAGAGGCTTCAGCCGATACCCTTGAGTCTTCCAGAAAAAGGAAAAAGTCACACCTAACAGAAGCAAAAGACACAGGACAAGGATGGTCAGATGCACCTTTTAGACCTGGAGAAAAATATACCGTATTTTTCAGCACCTTTTCCCCCCCTAAAAGGGGGTGAAAATTTAGGCGCGTCTTATACACCGAATGTAGCCCCGCCCACTCACTGGCCCCCACCCTTTGGCCTCTGCCTGACAGCAGTTACCTCCTTGCAAGCAAACAGCAAGAAGAAACAGCTCCTTTCAGCTTCAACACACCCTGATTAGCACAAGTTGATTGGATCGGCCTCCCGACTCTCCGCTGATTTGCTCTCAGCTGTTTTGCCCGGCCTCTGCTACTTACTGCAAGGAAGAAAATTGCTGGAGCAGATTTTTTTCCCCCTTGTGCTAATCAAGCTATGCTGAAACTGAAACTGAAAGTAAAACAGGCTGTTTGTTGCAATGAGGCAAAATTGCTCAGAGGCAGAGGGAGATTTCTTTTTCTTTTTTTCCTCACCAAAAAAGGTAGGTGCATCTTATACTCTGAAAAATATAATATATCATACCACTTGAGAGAAATACATACAGGTAGTCCTTGACTTACAACCACAACTGAGCTCAACATTTCTCTCACTAAGTGAGACATTCGTTAAGTGAGCCTGGCCCCATTTTATGACCTTTCTTGCCACTGTTGTTAAGGAAATCCCTGCAGTCATTAAGTTAGTAACATGGCCGTTCAGTGAATCTGGCTTCCCCACTGACTTTGTGTTCTGCCCCAGCTACGGATCCCAAAGAATGTAGCACACACAAACTCCGAACAAAACTCAGTTTACTTCAAAACGCAGTCTTTTGCAAATGCAGGCTGTTAATAAAACGTTCTTAACAACCTGCCAGAAATTCCACAGATAAGATAGAGTCTTACTAAAGTTGGCAGAAAGCCCAGAAATCAGGTTTGCAGAGAAAATTCAAACTCAATGATCAGCGAACGAATGGACGAACACATGTTGTTTCCTGCAGCTTTTTACAAGCTGTGTGCAAACTTAAATAGGCTGAGGGAGTGGCCAATTAGCTCCAAGCCTTACTCTCGAGGAGACCTCCTCCTGAGTAACCACTCCTGCCTTTTGGCAGCTCTGCGTGCTCATGCATTGAGAAGAGGCTCCTCCACTTCCTTGCCTCTGGCACCACATCTTCTTCAGCCTCCTCGCTGTCCGACTCGAGCGCCGGCTGCACAGGCTGCTGGCGCAGCACCACACCAGCCTCCTCACTGTCAGAATTGGCTACTAGCTGCACAGGCCGCTGACGGGCCACAACACATGCTGCCATCGCTACCGGTTCTCTGAACCGGGAACATTTCACCCCTGGGGATGCCACAAAGGTCTTCAGTGTGAAAAATGGTCATAAGTTACTTTTTTAAAGAGGTAACTGGACTTTCTGGTTTTCCTTTGAAGACATTTCGCTTCTCATCCAAGAAGCTTCTTCAGCTCTGACCGGATGGTGGGGAATGGAAGGATTTATATTCTCAAGTGATTCAGGTCAGGTTTGTCCCAAAGGCGCTTTGGTCCATTGTTGTCCATGACCTGGTCATCCAGGATGACTGAGAATCTCTACAGACTTTTAGCTACACAATTTGGGATGGACACCCTTTGAATGGTGTGGGAGTAGGAATGGATTTCCAGAGGAAAAAAAATTGCAGACCACAGGAACCAAGAGCACCACTCAGGTGACCCTGAGGACACAGAGAAACCCCCAAGTGGCCTCAACGACCCTCTAAAAGGATGCAAATGACCAGCTACCTGCAAGGAATATAAATCCTTCCATTCCCCACCATCCAAGTCAGAGCTGAAGAAGTTTCTTGGATGAGAAGTGAAACCTCTTCAAAGAAAAAACAGAAAGTTCAGTTGCCTCTTGAAAAAGCAGCTTTGAGACAACCATGACTTTGATGACTGAGAATCTCCATAGACCTCTAGAATGAGGGTTAAGGACTCAGGATTATTATCGCCATCCATCATATTTCCGGATATCGATTCTAAGACCATTAGTGTTGGTGCAGTGGTTAGAAGGCAGTATTGCAGGCTAATTCTGCTGACTGCCAGGGGTTTGATCCTTAGCGGCTCAAGGTTGACTCAGCCTTCCATCCTTCCAAGGTGGGTAAAATGAGGACCCAGATTGTTGGGGGCAAGAGGCTGACTCTGTAAACCACTTAGAGAGGGCTGTAAGACACTGTAAAGAGGTACATAAGTCAAAGGGCTATTGTCCTTCCCTCCCTCCTCTCCTTCCTTCCTTCCTTCCTTCCTTCCTTCCTTCCTTCCTTCCTTCCTTCCTTCCTTCCTTCCATGGTGCACAGTGTTAGAATGCAGTATTGCAGGTTAACTCTGCCGACTGCCAAGTGTTCAATCCTCACCGGTTCAAGGTGGACTCAGCCTTCCATCTTTTCAAGGTCATAAAATGAGGACCCAGATTGTTGGGGAAAATAGGCTGACCCTGTAAATCACTTAGAGAGAGCCTAAGTCTAAGTGCTATTGTCCTTCCTTCCTTCCTTCCTTCCTTCCTTCCTTCCTTCCTTCCTCCCTCCCTCCCTCCCTCCCTTCCTTGATGCACAGTGGTTAGAGTGCAGTATTGCAGGCTAATTCTGCCGACTGCCAGCAGTTCGATCCTGACCGGCTCAAGGTTGACTCAGCCTTCCATCCTTCCTAAATCGATAAAATGTAGACCCAAATTGTTGGGGGCAAGAAGCCGACTCTGTAAACCACTTAGAGAGGGGCTGTAAAAGCACTGTGAAGCGGTATATAAGTCTAAGTACTAAATTCTATTATAAGGTTTCACTTGGAGAGAAATTCACTCTCTCATCATCTCGGGAAGAACACCATAGATTAACAAAGCTGCTTTAACTTTAAAAGCCGATTTACTGGATGTTCGCCTGGGATCTTGATAGAAGCAAGTAGATGCAGATCCTTAGAGATATCTCCCATGCTCAGAGCCAGCCCTTGTTCTTATCCGGCAAAGTTTATAACTTGGCCCATAAACAAGATAAGATAGTCCTAAGGGGAAAACGCCTTGATGATACATTAAGACAGATCCAAGGGGAAGAGATTACAATCCGCAGAGGAAAACTGCTAAACCAAACCATTAGCTGTAAACTCTGGATGGACTCTGTCTAGGGAATTCCCCATCCTTGGGCCATTATTTTAAGCCCGTGGTTAGTTACAGTCATAAACAAATATGCATAATTTATTCAGCAAGCTGCTTTGCCATTTCCTAAGCAAATAATTTGGATGTAAACCCGTACGAACCATTTGCATAAGCGCTAATGCCTGGAAGAGATTTTACGATTCCCTTAAAATGCGGCTCAGAGAAACGTGGTTTTCTCCGATTCCCTCCCCCTTTCCAGTCGCGTTGCTAGAATAAAATTAATAAAATAAAATATGGAAGGTATATCAAAAACCACGGCTATGGGGATAATCTCCTACTAACCTTCAGGCTCACAGAATTCTTGGTTAATAATGCAAGAGTTTTGATAATTTCCGAAAAGGAGAAAAGTTGCTCCCTTGATGTTTGGGATATAGACACCTTTGTTTACAATCCCTTCGACGATATCTAAGGAAGGAAAAAGGGAGGAAAAAACATGACGAGGTGCAGCTTTTAAGATTTTTCGGGTTGGCCCCGCCACTTAGAAGGATGGCCAGAACAATTTTGCTTATTTTTTTTCCCCCCACCCAACACCAAGAATCCTGTCAAAGATGCTTTTTTCAAAAGGCAACTAGACTGTTTTTTCCCAAGAAGTAAAAGGAGGAGGAGGAAGAGGAGGAGGACTGTAGGATCCTCAATGCTCCCTGAGCTTAGTGGTTTCCTTGCAGACGTTTCATGACCAAACTAGGTGACATCATCAGTGCTAGAACGGAATGGCATTTCTGGAGTGGAGTAGAGGAGGAGGAGGAGGAGGAGGAGGAGGAGGAGGAGGAGGAGGAGGAGGAGGAGAAGAAGAAGAAGAAGAAGAAGAAGAAGAAGAAGAAGAAGAAGAAGAAGAAGAAGAAGAAGAAGAAGGAGGAGGAGGAGGAGGAGGAGGAGGAGGAGGAGGGGGGGGGGGAGGGGAGGAGGAGGAGGAGGGAGGAGGAGAGGAAGAGGAGGAGGAGGAGGAGAAGAGAGGAGGAGGAGGAGGAGAGGAGGAGGACGGGAAGAGGAGGAGGAGGAGAGGAGGAGGAGGAGGAGGAAGAGGAGGAGGAGGAGGAGGAGGAGGAGAGAGGAGGAGGGGAAGAGGAGGAGGAGGAGAGGAGGAGGGGAAGAGGAGGAAGAGGAGGAGAAGAGGAGGAGGAGGAGAGGAGGAGGAGGGGGAAGAGGAGGAGAAGAAGAGGAGAGGAGTAGGAGGAGGAGAGGAGGAGGGGAAGAGGAGGGTGAGGAGAGGAGGAGGAGGAGGAGAAGAAGAGGAGGAGGAGGAGAGGAGGAGGGGAAGAGGAGGAGGAGGAGAGGAGGAGGAGGCGAGGAGGAGGGGAAGAGGAGGAGAAGAAGAGGAGGAGGAGGAGTGGAGGAGGAGGAGGGGAAGAGGAGAAGAAGAGGAGCAGGAGGAGGAGAGGAGGATGGGAAAAGGAGGAGGAGGAGAGGAGGAGGAGGAGGAGGAGGAGGAGAGGAGGAAGAGAAGAATGGCATGGGGTCTTCTGCTTGACTAGAAGACCTCCAAGGTCCCTTCCAGCTCTATTCTGAATTGAAGAAGAAGATGTTTCGCTTTTCATCCAAGAAGCTCCTCCAGCTCTGATTGAAAGTGAAGAAGAACTGGTGAAGCTCCTTCTTCTTCTTCTTCTTCTTCTTCTTCTTCTTCTTCTTCTTCTTCTTCTTCTTCTTCTTCTTCTTCTTCTTCTTCTTCCTCCTCCTCCCTCCTCCTCCTCTCCTCCTCCTCCTCCTCCTCCTCCTCCTCCTCCTCAAGGAAAAAGCAGTCCAGTTGCCATTTGGTGGCGGGGAGCACTTTTGGGACAACTATGACCTGGATGACTGAGAATCTCCATAGATACCAGGAATCATCCTTCTTCTTCTAGCCATTCAATAGGAGCCATTCCATATTGAGAGGGCAGTAAGCTAAAGGTAAAGGTTCCCCTCGCACCTATAGGCTAGTCGTTCCTGACTCTAGGGGGCTGTGCTCATCTCCGTTTCTAAGCCGAAGAGCCAGCACTGTCCGAAGATGTCTCCGTGGTCATGTGGACGGCATGACTCAACACCAAAGGTCACGGAACGCTGTTCCCTTCCCACCAAAGGTGGTCCCTATTTTTCTACTTGCATTTTTTACCTGCTTTCGAACTGCTAGGTTGGCAGAAGCTGGGACAAGTCACGGGAGCTCACCCCATTACACGGCGCTAGGGATTCAAACCGCTGAACTGCCGACCTTTCGATCGACAAGCTCAGCGTCTTAGCCAGTGAGCCACCGCGTCCCTTTTCACAGTGTCCCTTCACAATGACATGGAGAACACCAAAAGCCATACATCAGCCGAATGGCCAAGCTTGACAAATAGAAAAGGATTGTCTAGAATTCTCACCTACGGTCGCGGAGAAGTTAGAGTAGGCGGAATCATTGGTATAAACAAAAGTAGAATTATGGTAATGAAGCACAGTGAAGCTGTGGGATCTTAGCGCTGCGTGAGAGAAGAAAGAAAACAAACACAACAATGGAATGGAAAAGCAACACCATGAATATAAGCAAGGTGGATACGAATCAATCAACCAGATCATGTCTCTCAATCAACATCATTGCAACGTGCCAAAAGTTCCACCTGTCTGGGTTAAAGCTAGAAAGGAGCTAGCTCAAATGGAAAATTAAACTGTCCTATCTGAAGAAACAATGGCTCATTTTTTTTAAAAAAATAGAATCTCACTGATAGACAAGGAGCATTGGTGAAATGCTCCCGGTTCGGACCGGATCACCCGATCCGGTAGCGATGGCGGCGGGTGGTTCGGAGAACCGGTAGCAAAAATCCCTGCGCCCCCACCCTCCCAACCATGCTCACTGAGTCGCACGATCATCAGAGGCTTTTTTTTTTTACTTTTAAAAACATTTTTTCTACAACCTCTTCCGACGAAAAAATGCTTCTAAAAGTTAAAAAAAAAAGCCTTAAAAGTAACAAAAAAAAAAGCCTTAAAAATAACAAAAAAAAAAATCGCGCAGCTCAGCTGGGATCCTCAGAGGCTTTTCAAAGCATTTTTTTCTACAACCTCTTGACCAAAGAGGTGGTTTAAAAAATGCTTTGGAAAGTCTCTAACGATTCCAGCTGAGTTGCCTGATCGCAGAGAGGCTTTTCAAAGCATTAGAAAAAATGCTTTGAATTTTTTTTTTTAAAAGTTGGCCACGCCCATCCAGTCACATTACCCCCCATCACCAAGCCACGCCCACAGAACCAATAGTAACACATTTTACATTTCACCCTGGACAAGGAGAACATAGATCCATGATGGCAAACCTATGGCACGCGTGCCACAAGTGGCATGCAGAGCCATCTTTCCGGGCATGCAAGCCGTTGCTCGTCTGGTTTCCAGCACGCACATGCGCGCCGGCCACCTGATCTTCAAGATTTTGGCATACATGCGCATGTGAAGACCAGCTGGCTGGTGCGCATATGCGGACCAGAAACCAGAAGAGCAACGGTCGATGGCTCTGAGTGCCACTTCCACCACATATGCCATAGGTTCACCATCCCGGGTATAGGATCTCCTGCTTAAGCATGCACACCAGGCAGCTGGTCTTCTGATTTCCAGCCCCGTGCGCATATGCGCTCCCATTTCGGCACTCGGTGCTGAAAAGGTTTCGCCAACAGTGACGTAGATTTAAGACAACTGAATCCTTGGTGGCTGATTCTGGTTTAACTAACTCCTCATGGGGCTAGTGGGGAAGGATGATTATTCTCCAACTCCTAAAGACTTGATTCTACCAAGCAAAGACTATCTCTGGTGGGGTTTTCAAGATCACCCAGATGTCAGCACTTCAAGCTGCATTTACTCTAGTGCTGACATAAGAAGGAGAAGTGGAGGCGTCTGGAAAGGGACGTTTGACTTTTCACCTACTTATTTTCCCTGGAGATAATATCCCCTTGGAGATGGGATGGGAGGGGGGAAATTCCTTTGAGCTGGAGCAGTAGATTAGGGGTAGAGTGATTTGGAACATGGCCAATGAGTGCAGAAGGGGAACAGAAAGGGAGGGTTTTGGGTCTGGAAGTCAGTGTTGGCTGCGATGGAGTCAGAGTTAGGATGTCGTGCTTAATAAATGGGAGTTTTTCATCAAAAAAAGACTTTGTTCGAAATGCAATTTATTTGAGACGACCATGAAACCTGACACCATGTTCCTATCATCTAAGCCCATTCTTAGTGGAAGGGCTTTTAAGTTCACAGTTGAATATCTTTTGGACATTAAAGCCCCACATATGACACCACATTGCTCCCTCCAGCAAGAGCTGGGAAACACCTGGAAACCAGAATCTGGGCTCCAATAGACTTTCTGGGGATTGTTGGACTAAAGAAAAAAAATCTAGGCGCCAACATTCTAGAACAGCGGTCACCAACTGGTGGTCCGTGGACCACGGGTGGTCCATGAGAAAATTTTGGTGGTCCGCAGAAAAATTATTTGCATTTTTTATATTGCACTAAATCAGGGGTCCTCAAACTACGGCCCCTGGGCCGGATACGTGCAGTGAACATTTGTGTTGCTGCAGAGAGTCTCCCCCTTCGGGGTCTTTTTGTGCAGGTTGAGGGGGGGAGAAATTCGACTTGGGGTCTGCTTCGGTCTCCTGGTGTGGGGCTTTGGGCAAAGGCTGGAAGGAAGTGCCACTGGTGGTGAAGGGGCAAGTGGGCCTTGTTCCAGTGGGACTGCATCATGGCCTGGAATTGGCTGACGATCTCAGCCTGTGAGCCTCCAGGGGTCGGTTCCTGGCCTTGCACTCCCGCAGGTCTTCCCTCTGCTTGGAAAGCCTATGCTCCTAGTCCTCAGTGAGGTGCTTCTGCTGACCTCCTTCTCGGTCAGACCCAATTTGAACTGAGCTGTTTTGCCAACTCTTTCTCGTGGTGGCTGCTTAGCTCCAACAACTGCTTCCTGTTGGGACCCTAAGGAGCCCAGGCGGGCAGGCAAGGAGTAGCAAGTAGAGGCTGGCAAGGCACCCCTTGACGTGAGTGACATCAAGTTGGCCATGACCACCCAATCACATGACCACCTTGCCACGCCCACCCAGCCGGTCATTAGGCAGATCTTATTAGTGGTCCGCAGGATTTAAAATTATGAATTAGTGGTCCCTGAGGCCCGAAAGGTTGGTGACCCCTGTTCTAGAAGATGCTGTTCAACGGCATACTGAGAATCATCAATTCTTCATCTCCAGTGTAGACAATACTGATCTAGAACCCACGGAGAATTCGATTCGTCCTAAAACTTCTTAAAGCTTTCTTCAAACCCCTCCCAATCTTTGGTAATAATATTACAAGGCAGACACTTCCTGAAATACCTGTCTTACAAAAAGAAAATAATGAAGCTGAAGATTGACTTGGAAAGGAGGTCCTCTGGACCAGTGGTGAAATCCTCCGCGGATCGCCACTGGTTCGCTGCCAGTGCATTTGCGGTGTGTGCCAAATGTGTGCTATGCACACGCATGCACAATGCATGCCAAAACCATACTGTGCATGGACAGTACACACGAAAAGCACACTTCACCGAAACCGGTAGCTTTTTTTTACTACCAGTTCGTGCGAACTGGTAGCATTTCACCCCTGCTCTGGACCTTGGTAAATTAAAACCAGGTTTAGTATGCATGTGTGAACTGTTTGCACATGGAAAAATAAACTCTATGGCAGGGGTGAAATGCAAAATGTGTTACTACCGGTTCTGTGGGCGTGGCCAACTTTTTTTTTTTTTAACTTTTCAAAGCATTTTTTTCTAATGCTTTGAAAAGCCTCTGCCGATCAGGCAACACAGCTGGGATCGTCAGAGACTTTTCAAAACATTTTTTTTAACCACCTCTTTGGCCAAGAGGTTGCAGAAAAAAATGCTTTGAAAAGCCTCTGACGATCCCAGCTGAGCCATGTAATCATCAGAGGCTTTTTTTTTTTTACTTTTAAAAGCATTTTTTCGTCAGAAGAGGTTGTAGAAAAAATGCTTTTAAAAGTTTTTTTAAAAAGCCTCTGATGATCGTGCAGCTCACCTGGGCATGGGGGGGGCGCAGGGATTTTTGCTATCGGTTCTCCGAACCACCCACCGCCATCGCTACTGGATCAGGCGATCCAGTCCGAACTGGGAGCATTTCATCCCTGCTCTATGGCCACCTAACCATCAGTACCCATCACTTAAACCATCTGAAAATAGAAGGAATTGTTGCTAATGGATTCAGAATCTCCCATTTATGTTTCATGATCAATCACTGTTAAAGCCTTTTACAGTTTATGCTAACCAAATTATTATACTGGATATTCTGTTTGGCAATTGTTTTGTTGCAGCAAAAGGACTCGTACGGGGATCTTGTCTGGAAGCCAAGTTGAAAACGCCAATCTCTGCAAAAAAAGGCACGCCATCGAGAGAGAGAGAGAGAACTAGAACTGGCTTTATGAAGGTGCCAAACACAAACAGACACGCAATGAATAAACATGGCAGGCAAAGTTGACGATGGCTCAAGGATTGATGAGGGACAAAGGTGGAGCAAATGGCATGAATGCTTGATGGAAAGACATGACGAGGACGGGAAGACATATCAAGGGATGGTTTCTCCCAAAGCTGTAGAGATGCACAATTTGGAGTGCAATATCACAACCAGAGATGGGTAATCACTGGTAACAATGGACCATCTTATTCATCTCTGGGGTCCAGTTTTTATTGCCAAAACACGGCATACACAGTCCAATCTCAAGAGTGCTCAGAAATAACTCAAGTGGCTTGCATGGAGCACCACAACAGTCTTGGGACCATCTGACTTAAAGATACATCTATGGGAAAATAGTTACATGGAATACAACATATAGGTCGATATAACACATATATTGGAAACTAAATGGCCCCTGCTGTTCTCCCCTCTTCACCAGCCAACTCCAACAGCATTTTCTATCATGAAGCAAACTGGCCACTTTTTTTTAAGCCTGAGAGATAGTTTTGACATCTGGAAAAGGAGAAGAAGGAGAAGGAGAAGGGGAAGGGGAAGGGGAAGAGGAAGAGGAGGAGGAGGAGAGAAAGAAGAAGGAGGAGGAGGAGGAGAAGGAGAAGGAGAAGAAGAAGAAGAAAGAGAAGGAGAAGGAGAAGGGGAAGGGGAAGGGGAAGAGGAGGAGGAGAGAAAGAAGAAGAAGGAGAAGGAGGAGAAGGAGAAGGAGAAGAAGAAAGAGAAGGAGAAGGAGAAGGAGGAGGGGAAGGGGAAGGGGAAGAGGAGGAGGAGGAGAGAAAGAAGGAGAAGGAGAAGGAGAAGGAGGAGAAGGAGAAGGAGAAGGAGAAGGAGAAGGAGAAGAAGAAAGAGAAGGAGAAGGAGGAGGGGAAGGGGAAGGGGAAGAGGAGGAGGAGGAGAGAAAGAAGGAGAAGGAGAAGGAGAAGGAGAAGGAGAAGGAGGAGAAGGAGAAGGAGAAGGAGAAGAAGAAAGAGAAGGAAAAGGAGAAAGGGAAGGGGAAGGGGAAGAGGAGGAGGAGAGAAAGAAGAAGAAGGAGAAGGAGAAGGAGGAGAAGGAGAAGGAGAAGAAGAAAGAAGGAGAAGGGGAAGGGGAAGGGGAAGGGGAAGAGGAGGAGGAGAGTACAGAGAAGAAGAAGGAGAAGAAGAAGGAGAAGGAGAAGGAGAAGGAGAAGGAGAAGAGGAGGAGGAAGAGGAAGAGGAAGAAGAAGAAGAGGGGGAGGAGGAGGAGGAGGATTATGTGATCCTTGGTGCTCTCTGAGCTTGGTAGTTTTCTTGTTTCCTAGTTGGGTCATGAAACATCTGCAAGAAACCCCCAAGCTCAGAGAGCAACAAGGACCCCAAAGTTCAACCTTGAGCTACAAATATTATTTTCTGTCGGTATCATATCTTATCCTTGGAGACCATCCTTCTCCAGTCTACCTCCGTCGGTGTCCTTTAATTCGTGGATTCCTTCTACGGTGTCCAGAGGCCAATAATGCGATGCTTGAGCAAGAACACGGAAACCTATCAAGAAAATACAGCAGGACCAAAGTCATCCCCTTTGTGGGAACTCAAACAATTGCCAGTTATTTCTCATATTTATCTTCCCTTCCCCTCTGCTTTTCGCTTTGTTTTGCTTCTCTGGAGTTAGATTTTAAATTGAAAAATGCTTGGGACATGGACTTGAAGATGGGAGAAAGTATCCTCTCTTCCTCCATTTTTAACTTTGATAAAATCAGTTGAGGTAGACTATTTTTTGAGATTTTAAGTATCTCCATCCCACCCAGCATATTACTGAAGGTCTTTGGCCTTTCAAAGAACCATTTTAGGAAGCTAGGTGACAATTAAAGTTGGAGACGCTTGAAAGAGCGCAGAAAAGAGCAACAAAGATGTTTAGGGACCTGGAGGCTAAAACATATGAAGAACGGTTGCAGGAATTGGATGTATCTAGTATGAGCCATGGTGGCGTAGTGGTTAGAAGGCAGTACTGCAGGCGACTTCTGCTGACTGCCAGCTGCCTGCAATGTGGCAGTTCAAATCTCACCGGCACAGGGTTGACTCAGCCTTCCCTCCTTCTCAGGTGGGTAAAATGAGGACCCAGATTGTTGGGGGCAAGATGCTGACTCTGTAAACCGCTTAGAGAGGGGCTGTAAAGCACTGTAAAGCAGTATATAAGTCTAAGTATATTGCAGTTGCCCTTCCTTCCTTCCTTCCTTCCTTCCTTCCTTCCTTCCTTCCTTCCTTCCTTCCTTCCATCCATCCATCCATCCATCCATGGTGTGCAGTGGTTAGAATGCAATATATTGCAGGTTAACTGCTTCTCATTGCCAGGAGTTCGATCCTGACCGGGTCAAGGTTGACTCAGCCTTCCATCCTTCCAAGGTGGGTAAAATGAGGACCCAGATTGTTGGGGGCAAGAGGCTGACTCTGTAAACCACTTAGAGAGGGCTGGAAAGCACTGTGAAGTGGTATATAAGTGCCATTGCTATTGTCCTTCCTTCCTTCGGAGAAGGGCAGCATATAAATCAAACTAATAAATAAATAAATAATAAGTCCTCCCCCATGACCAGTCCGTCTTTAGCCAATGCAATGTCGCTATGATGTTTTGGGAAATGCTGAGGTGTTTAGACTGGTGAAATTCCACATTCAGGGCAAACTGGCCTTGAAGAAGCCTGGCACGAACCGGATTCCACACCGCTCTGCTCTTCTTCAGCTATTCCCCTTCTTTTGAAGCACACCGATTTATTATCCATGTGCAGAGGTGGGATTCAAATAATTTAACAACCGGTTCTCTGCCTTAATGACCGGCTGGGTGGGTGTGGCCATGGTGTGTGATAGGCAGCACTTGGCCTCCTGCATCCTCCTGGGAGCAAAAATGCATGGCACACAAACATCCCGCGGCCCATTTTGGGCCTAGAAAGCCACCCTGAAGCCTCCTGGGCTGAGGGAGAGGCACACCGCACATACACATCCTGTGCCCCATTTTGGGGCTAGTAGGCCTCCCTGCACTTACCTGGGAGCCAAAATGGGGCGCATGGGGACTCCTGGAAGTGAGGGGCTGGGCCAGCCAGCAATTTAACTACTGGTGCGCCTGAACTGGCTGAATCACACCACTGCATGTGTCCACCTGTTTCCTTCTCCTTTCCCCCACTGCTTTGATGGCAGGACGCCAGTGAGGCGCCAAGCCGAAGATGCTGGTTCTGACATTTAGGCTAGATGCTGATCTGGCTCACCCTAAGTGAGGCTTCTCCTGAGTGTTGTATTGCAGGCAAAGTCTCCGAATTTCCAGCCAACGTGGAAGTGGTCCTTGGTCCAATACATTTGGTGACCACCAGGCTGGAGAAAGACGCATGTGTGAATATGGTAAGGACTGAACATGGGGAGTTTGCCACAGGAGGCAAAAATGGATGAATTTCGGATCTTCCCTTCTCTCCTTCTGCTCTACTACCAAGTTAACAGTCCTTCTACTCAGCACTGAAAAAGAACCCAACCCTAAAAAGCAGAGATTATACAAGCTGTAGCTGTGAAAGTCTAAGGATGCACTATAAACACTCAAGCACACAAGTGTTAAAACCAACAAAGTGCGGTAGAAATCTTGAGCTCGTCAAGAGAAGCAGAAAATAATAAATCTTTGCTCTCAGGTGTTCAGTGAGAAACCCTGAGTGGTTATAATAACGGAATACACTGCTGTAGGAGAGACATCACCCTGCCAACGAAAGTGCGTATAGTCAAGGCGATGGTTTTCCCAGTTGCAATGTAGGGCTGTAAAAGTTGGACCATAAGAAAGGCTGAGAAGGCCAAAGAATGGAGGCCTTTGAACTCTGGTGCTGGAGAAGACTCCTGCGAGTCCCTTGGACTGCAAGGTGATCTAACCGGTCAGTCCTAGAGGAGACCAACCCTGACTGCCCTTTAGAAGGCCAGATCCTGAAGAGGAAACTCAAATCCTTGGGCCACCTAATGAGAAGGAAGGACTCCCTGGAGAAGAGCCTAATGCTGGGAACGATGGAGGGCAAAAGAAGAAAGGGACGGCAGAGAAGGAGGTGGCTGGATGGAGTCCCTGAAGCAGTCGGCGTGAGCTTCAATGGACTCCAGAGGATGGTAGAGGACAGGAAGGTCTGGAGGAAGTCCATGGGGTCACGATGGGTTGGACATGACTTTGCAACTAACAACAACAACAGGAAACAAGGAAGTGGTCGGTAGCATCCATCATCCCCCACCATTGAGTATCCTGGTTCGGGCTAATAGGAGTCCGAATCCAGCAACATCCAATTCACTACAAGCTTCTCAACTTTGCTTAAAAAACAGTGGGCTTCCTGAAATGAATATTTTTAGCCTGCCCCTTGAAACGATCCGCATATGTAATAGATTCTCCTTAAATGTTGGCTTTATTGCTTGCTCACTTCCTGGCAACTCAGAAGGGAGTGCGGATAGGGATAGAAAGCTGGCCAAAAATATGGTTGTGGATTAAAAGGGAAAAAAAAAAAAAAAAAAAAAGAAAGACCTTGTAAGCATGTAGCACCAACGATGGCGCAATGAAAGCGTGCTTCCAAAGCATTCCAGAAATCTTGTAAAAATGCAGGTCTCCGATTCTTATAAACCACATTTTTTCTCTCTCTCTCTCTAATGATTGGACCCCTCCCTGTGATTTATGGAGACTGGTGCCTACGAGGTAGGAAGTGAAGTGGTTTAGACAGATCCTCTTTCAATTAAAATAGGTGTAGGGATCATTACTTTCTCCACTTTGGATTTAAAAACAAAGCTAGCTACATGCTTGGAAAGGGAGTGAAATAACAGAATAACGGAGTTGGAAGGGACCTTGGAGGTCTTCTAGTCCAACCTCCTGCCCAGGCAGGAAACCCTACACCACTTCAGACAAATGGCTGTCCAATCTCTTCTTTAAAAACTCCCAGTGTTGGAGCATTCACAACTTCTGGAGGCAAGTTGTTCCACTGGTTAATTGTTCTCACTGTCAGGAAATTCCTCCTTAGTTCTAGGTTGCTTCTCTCCTTGATGAGTTTCCACCTGTTGCTTCTTGTCCTGCCTTCTGGTGCTTTAGAGAATAGTTTGACTCCCTCTTCTTTGGGGCAGCCCCTGAGATATTGGAACATTGCTATCATGTCTCCCCTAGTCCTTCTTTTCATTAAACTAGACATACCCAATTCCAGTAACTGTTCTTCATATGTTTTAGCCTCCAGGCCCATAAAACTACTTCAACTTCTTGTAAGCGCTTATCATGAAAAAAAAATTAGTAATTCTTGGTTTAGGGAATTTAGGGCAATGAGAGAACAGAAAATGCTAGTAATTTTCATGAGAAAATTCAGTATTACCAGATTCTAACATCATCCAATCTCAAAATTAGAAGCTCACGTTGCCTAATGGTTGAGCTGGCCCCAAAGTAAATCATTTTCATAAACCCGCATTCCCTTTTATTTATTGTAAAAATCAAACTGAGATAACAAGAGGAAGCAGACTTTCAGACAAGTCAGTTTAAAGCTGCATTTGAAAGGAAAAGCCTTTCAAATTAATACTTGGCCATTTAGCATCGGGAGGATCCAGAATGGAAAATTTAAAAATAACTCCATGGTGGGGATTGCCAAAATTGTTTGGCCAGATGGATGGATCTCATGAGCGAACAGAAAAGGCAGGTACAGTTCAACACACCTGAAAATTTACCAGTTCGCCATTCCTGCTTTAAAATGAATTCTAGGATCTGTTTGCTACCATGAACAGTTCCTTCGTTTTTCTTGTGTTAGGACTATCTCAAGTTGCTTAGTCTGCTGACCATCCAATTTTTGCATAGTTGCCCAACGCACACTGTGGTTGAGTAAAGAGTTGAACTCACAGCTCCTGGTAGACTACTACTGCCAGTACATCCCTATTTTTGGAGACCTTCTTGAGAACTTCCAAATTCCTCCTATGTTGACTCTCAAGCCCTAAGAACAAGGCCCCCTGTCTTGATGAGACCCAACGCCAAGTGTTGACATCCCAACCAAAGCAAACTTATCAATGCTATTTCTTGTTTGCATTTGATGTTCCTCAATCATATATCTAATCATGTTTTTGCGGGCGATGGTGAAGACAAAGGAGAGGGATGCAGCAATCGTAAAGGTTTTCAAAATTTCAAGATAGCAAAAATTCCTTACCAGGATGTTTTTGTGGCCAAGTATGAGCCCTGTAAACCTGCATAATAAAAATATATAACAGATACGTGAATAGGATTCAGGCGCAGCAAACCTTTCCAAAGAAGAGAGTAATTTTAAAAAAATAATAATAAATGCCACAGGTTTTTGAGACCATTACCTGAAATAAAATCCACAACAAAAGATAGCAAAGTTGCACCAGCCAATTTGCCATGATCCTTCGTCTCGATGCAAACCAGAAAACCAACGGTGGGATGAAATCTCAGGTCACAGTAATCATAATATCATTAGTAACAAAACTTCCAGTGCTCCATCATCCTCTGCTCTTCTTTTTCTTTTTCTTTTTTTCCAAAGGGTGTTTTCTAATCATCCATACAACAAGCCCATTCCGTCGACTGGTTTGTGGGAAGGGGAAAAAAAAGAAAAGAAACAAGAAACAAAATCCAACTCTTCCCTGAGGTCTAAAAAAATTAAGGTTTCAAAACGTGGAGTCCTTCTGTGGCTGATAAATCCATTCCAGGAAAAGAAAAGAAAAAGGAAGAGGAATAATGAAGAGGGGGGAGAGAAGAAAAGAGAATAAACTTGGGATGATTACAGATGCAAGCTTCTCTTCTCCAACTTTCGCTAACGGCTTTGCCTTTTTAGATTTGTCTTCGTTTGATCAGATGTCACTGGGTGGAAATGGAATTTGGCATGCTTTCACAGCCACAAAAAAAAGAGAGAGAGAGAGAGAGAGAAGAAGAAGGTGCCTTGGAGATTAAAGATTTTAAATATTTCTTCTTTTGGGGCAAAGACTGAGAGGGATTTTGTGGCAAGAGGTTGTTCGTTCTTGGGAAAACCTGGCCGTCTCAGGGTTCACACACCTCTAGCCTTCGTCCTGACGGAGCGTCGAGCAAAATCAAAGTGATGTCAGACTTTCTCCTCAAACTTTGTCCCATTTGGGTATTCTATTTATATCACATTACCAACAAGTGGCTTCCTCTTCTGGGTCCTAGCACCAGTCAGTTAGAAAGAATGAAATTCAGAAGATGTGAAGATAGCCAGGAAGTAAAAAAAAAAAAAAAAACAGGCGTGGAGAGAAGGAACCAAAAGGAAGCCTTAAGGTTTTATACATCGATGACTTAGAGGTGAGGTAATATTGTTTCTTCGATACGAAAGAGATGCTGAGACTTAATAGCTTGATAATAATAATGATAAGTTGCATTAACAGAGGGATGCAATCAAGATCAGGTAAAGGTAAAGGTTCCCCTCGCACATATGTGCTGGTCGTTCCCGACTCTAGAGGGCGGTGCTCATCTCCGTTTCAAATCTGAAGAGCCAGCACTGTCCGAAGACTTCTCCGTGGTCATGTGGCCGGCATGACTCAACACCAAAGGCGCACGGAATGCTGTGACCTTCCCACCAAAGGTGGTCCCTATTTTTCTACTTGCATTTTTTTACATGCTTTCGAACTGCCAGGTTGGCAGAAGCTGGGACAAGTCACGGGAGCTCACCCCGTCAGGCAGCACTAGGGATTCGAACCGCTGAACTGCCGACCTTTCGATCAACAAGCTCAGCGTCTTAGCCACTAAGCCATCGCATCCCTTAATCAAGATCAAGTAAGGTACTAATACCACTCTATAAAGCCTTATTAAGGCCACACCTAGAATCCTGCATCCAGTTTTGGTCACCACACTATAAAAATGATGTTGAGACTCTAGAAAAGTGCAGAAAGAGCAACCAGGATGATGAGGTGGCTGGAGGCTAAAACATATGAAGAACGGTTGCAGGAACTGGGCCTGGCTAGTCTAGTGAAGAGAAGGACCAGGGGAGACAGGATAGCATCTTCCAATATTTGAGGGGCTGCTCCAGAGAGGAGGGGGTCAAGCTATTTTCCAAAGCACCTGAAGGCCAGAGAAGGAACCATGGATGGAAACCGATCAAGGAGAGATTCAACCTAGAAATAAGGAGGAATTTTCTGACAGTGAGAACAATCAACCAGTGGAACAGAAGTTGCCTTCAGAAGTTGTGGGAGCTTCATCACTAGAAGCTTTGAAGAAGAGACTGGACTGCCATCTGTCAGAAATGGTCTAGGGTCTCCTGCTTGAGTGAGGGGGTTGGACTAGATGACCTACAAGGTCCCTTCCAACACTGTTAATCTGTTATTAATAACTCTGGAAAGTATGCAGAGAAGAGCCACAAAGATGATTTGGGGGCTGGAGTCTAAAACATAGCAATGAATAGTTGTGGGAACTGGGAATGTCTTGTCTAACCAAGAGGAGGACTAGGGAGTGACACCATCGTCGTCTTCCAATACTTGAGAGGGGCTGTCACAGAGAAGAGAGGGTCAATTTCTTTTCCAAAGCCCTTGAGGGCATGACAAGAAACAATGGGTGGGAATTCTTCAGAGGTAGATCCAACCTTGAACTAAGGAGAAATTTCCTGACAGTGAGAACAATCAATCAGGCGAAGGGCTCCCTTCAGAAGTTGTGGGTGCTTCATCATTGGAGGTTTTCAAGAAGAGATTGGACAGGCATTTCTCTGGAATGGATTAGGATCTCCTGCTTCTGCAGGGGGTTGGACTAGAAGACCTCCAATGTCTCTCTTTCTCTCTCTTTTCTTTTCTTCTTTCTTTCTTTCTTTCTTTCTTTCTTTCTTTCTTTCTTTCTTTCTTTCTTTCTTTCTTTCTTTCTTTCTTTCTTTCTCCGGAGACTCAAGGCGGTTTACAATGCGTTAAGCAATAGCCTTCATACTTTTGTATATACCTGCTTAGTAGGGCTTTCGGGCCTCCCCCAAGCGGTGTTCTTTTTTATACAAAGTCAGCTCATTGCCCCCACAATCCAGGTCCTCATTTTACTTACCTCGGAAGGATGGAAGGCTGAGTCAACCTTGAGCCTGGTGAGATTTGAACTTGCAGTAATTGCAGGCAGCTGGTGTTACTTAACAGGGCTTTAGTCTGCTGCGCCACCGAGTCTCATTTTAAAGGATGTTATTGATTTATTATTGTTTACATTTTGTTAGTGCTTAATAAACATCGTGTTGTCTGGGTTATTCAATTGGCTTAACAATACAGATTATGTTCTTAATCTCCACTGCTTTTTTCCCCCAACCACTGGTAAAATAAAGTCCATGTTTGACAATATTCTGTCTCTTCTTTCTGTTTAATCTTCAGCGTAAGTCTCTCCATTTCTGCACAATCTAGTATCTTCCTCATTACCTCTTCCGCTTGCGGTGTTCCTTCATTTTCCCAATATAGCAATAGCAATAGCAATTACTGTAGACTTATATACTGCTTCACAGTGCTTTCCAGCCCCTCTCTAAGTGGTTTACAGAGTCAGCCTCTTGCCCCCAACAATCTGGGTCCTCATTTTACACACCTCAGAAGGATGGAACGCTGAGTCAACCTTGAGCCATCAGGATTGAACTCCTGTCAGAGGGCAGAATTAGCCTGCAATGCTCCATTCTAACCACTGCACACCAAGGAAGGAAGGAAGGAAGGAAGGAAGGAAGGAAGGAAGGAAGGAAGGAAGGAAGGAAGGAAGGAAGGAAGGAAGGAAGGAATAGCAATAGCACTTACTTATATACTGCTTTATAGTGCTTTACAGCCCTCTCTAAACGGTTTACAGAGTCAGCCTCTTGCCCCCAACAATCTGGGTCCTCATTTTACCCACCTCGGAATGATCGAAGGCTGACTCAACCTTGAGCCTGGTAAGATTCGATCTGCCAAATTGCAGGCAGCCGGCAGTCAGCAGAAGCAGCCTGCAGTACTACACTCTAACCACTGCGCCACTACAGCTCTTGTATATGGTGCAAATATAATCCTCGCTGCTGTTAAGACGTGCAACAGTAAATCTATAGTTTGCTTATCAAGTTTTTCTGATATTACACCTGATAAAAACAGTTCAGGTTTAAAATCTACATGTTTTCCTATATTCCTATAGCCATGCATGCGAGCGTGCCTCCTGCAGGCCAGCTGGTCATAGGGTTTCTTCCGCGAATGTGCGGGGGGGCATGCACATGCGCAGGGGGCGGGCTGCATGCATGGGGGCTGTGCACGCATTGTATTTGGGGGGTTCGGGCGCATGCGCATTCTCATGCACGCATGTGCACTTTGGGCACTCAGTCCGGAAAAGGTTAGTCATCATTGCTCTAAAATAATAATCCCAGATCTTCGCACTTTCCGACGTGCCCTGAAGACCTTTCTGTTTCAACAAGCAGGGCTAGCATAAACATCTAAATTCTATGCCAAGGTCTTAGCAGATACACTAAGTTGACTCAATTTATTATTTACTGTTTATTAGCCCTGAGTCCTTCAGGAGAAGGGCAGTATAGAAAATAAATAAATAAATAAATAAATAAATAAATAAATAAATAAATAAATAAATAAATAAATAAATAAATAAATAAATAAATAAATAAATAAATAAATAAATAAATAAATAAATAAATAAATGCATGCCAATGACCAGCTGCCTGCAAAGAGTATAAATCCTTCCATTCCCCACCATCCAGTCAGAGCTGAAGAAGCTTCTTGGATGAGAAGTGAAACGTCTTCAAAAGAAAAAACCAGAAAGTCTCTTGAGAAAAGCACCTCCATGGCCTGGATGACTGAGAATCTCTACAGACCTTTAGCTATGCAATTTGGGATGAAGACCCTTGGAATGGTGGGGGAGTAGGAATGGATTTCCAGAGAAAAAAATTGCAGACTACAGGAACCAAGAGCACCACTCAGGTGACCCTGAGGACACAGAGAAACCTCCAAGTGGCCTCAACGACCCTCTCAAAGGATTCCAATGACCAGCTGTCTGCAAGGAGTATAAATCCTTCCATTCCCCACCATCCAAGTCAGAGCTGAAGAAGCTTCTTGGATGAGAAGCAAAACATCTTCAAAAAAAACCCCCAAGAAAGTCCAGTTGCCTCCTGAAAAAAGCACCTTTGCCTTTTAAAATCTGCAGATTTAAGCAACTTAAATCTGCAGGTTTTCTGCTGTAAATGACCCCAAAATCCCAACTACCTGAAAAGCAGCATGGTCCCCAATTTCTTGATTTGCATTAGGACAACATCCTTGAAGTTTTCACCAGGTGCATATTGTACATAAAGCTTGGTGCTTATTATCTGAATCTTTGTCAGCTGTGGCCAATAATCCAAGCTATGCCTGCTTCATTAGTTGCTCAAGTGCACCACCTTCAGGCAGAACCATGTAGCTACAGATTAAGGAAGGATAGTGGGCAGCAGACAGAAACCAAAATAGAAGTTTATTTTGATTTCATTATCTGGGCAGGAAATCTTAGGAGTATTCAAAAGTGAGCAGAAACAGGAAGTGGCTAAACCAGAGGTTTTCAAACTCGGCATCTTTAAGACTTGTGAACTTCAACTCCCAGAATTGCTGGCTGGAGAATTCTGGGAGTTGAAGTCCACAAGTCTTAAAGATGCCAAGTTTGAAAACCTCTGGGTTAAACTTAAGGACAGAGCAGTGATGATTCATGGTGAATAGAACTCGCCATTGAGTTAGGTATAAAGGTAAAGGTTCCCCTCGCATGTATGTGCTAGTCGTTCCCGACTCTAGGGGGCGGTGGTCATCTCCGTTTCAAAGCCGAAGAGCCAACACTGTCCGAAGACGTCTCCGTGGTCATGTGGCCGGCATGACTCAACGCCAAAGGCACACAGAACGCTCTTACCTTCCCACCAAAGGTGGTCCCTATTTTTTCTACTTGCATTTTTTGTTTACGTGCTTTCGAACTGCTATGTTGGCAGAAGCTGGGACAAGTCACGGGAGCTCACCCCATTATGCGGCACTAGGGATTCGAACTGCAGAACTGCCAACCTTTTGATCGACAAGCTCAGCCCCTGAGCCACCGCGTCCCTATAATATAATAAGGGGAAAAATATAATAAGGGGAATTTGTAGTTAATTTTGCATGTTTTGACAGCAGCAAGAATTTGCTTTGCTCAGTATTGGAAAGATGAGGAAAGACCAAGAGAAGACGATGTAATTAAAAAAATATTAGATTGCACAGAAATATTCTCCTATTAAAGGAGAAAGAAGAAAGGGAAAAGGAGAGAAAGAAAAG